AGTTGGAGAGTCCCCCAAGAAACCTTGTCTGGGGTGACCTCAGACCTGACTCTTCTGTATGCTAATTAGTACAGGGTCCAGATTAGTTCATCACACGCATCAGTCTACACACATACTGATGAATGCAGCTATCTGGTCAGTTCCACCCCCAGCCTCACCTCCCACACAAATTGACTGGTACTATGGCCTAGCTCAACCCAGCCCTACACACACCAGTGTGAACTGGAGCCTTGTGGGGGTGACCCCATTAACCCCCACCAGGCCCAACCCCTAACTCCAGTTCCTGCACATGCCTGCATGTGCAGTATTTAGTCTGGCTCAGCTCACATGCCTCCAGTTCTCATACACACCTATGCATGCTGCAGCTTAGCTCAGCTCAACCCAGACCCAGCCCACACCTAAGTCGACAGGTGCTGTTGCCTTGTCCAGCCCACACTGCCCCCAGCCCCGGTTCTCATACTTATCTGCAGGAGTTGCAGCCCAGTAGAGGAGTGTCAACAGTTCCCTTACTAGGCCCACTCTCAGCCTCACATCTTACACTTACCAGGGGGTACTACAGTCCTGCTTTAACATGACTTGCACCCAGTCCCAGCACTTGCCAGTGAATGCTGCAGTGAAGTCTGGATGACCTGCACTTATTCTAGTTCTTGCGGGCCAGCAAATGTGGTGACCCTCCCCAAGTCCCAATTCTCAGGCTCACCAGTGGCAGCTGCAGCTGCGGTCTTGCAGGGCATTAGCTGAAGTTCCCCAACTAGCCTTGCTCCAAGTCCTAGATCTTACATGTGCTGCTGGACTTTGTGGCACAGTCTGGCATGGCCTGCCTCAAGCCAGCCGGCAGGTGCTGCAGCCTGGTTTGGCCCTGGCTGCCCCAAGTCCCAGCTCATGCTGGTGGGTACTACAGGCTTTCCCAGCCCAGCCAGCTCTCAGTCCTAGCCCTAATGTGAATTGGTGGGTATTGCAGCCCAACCTGGCCCAGCCTGCACCCCATCCTAGATCTCATACCTGCCAGTGGGTGCTATGATATGGCCCAGCCTAACCTGCCCCTAGACCTGGTCCACATGTAGTCCAAACTGGCCAAACTGGCCTGTGCTGCCCCTAACCTCAGCTCTTGGGCTCACCAGTGGGAGCTATAGCCTAACAGGGGAATTCCCCAAGTTCCTGTATCAGACCAGCTCCCAGCTTCAGATCTTGTGCAGTGGTGGGTGCTCAGCTCAACTTGACATAGCCCACCTCCTGTCTTGGTATCCATCAGTGGGTACCGTGGCCTTGCTCGACTGGTCTGCACCCATTCCAGCTCTCACCAGCATATGCTACAGCCCAGCCCTACATAGCCCACCCCTTGACTTGGCTCTTATGTGGACCAGTGGGTACTGCAACTTAGCCCAGCCTGCCCCACACCCACCCAGGCTCTTGCAAGTATCAGTGGGCACTAGGGCCTAGTCAAGTATGACCTGCCCATGGGCCCAGCTTACCCACATGCTGACTAGTGCTACAGCCATATTCAGATCAGTCTACCCTCAACCCTATTCATGCACTCACCAATGGGAACCACAGCCTAGAAGGGAGTACCCTTAGTTCCCCTACCAGGCACGCTGTCAGCCTGGATCTTGCACATGCTGGTGGCTCTGACCCAGCCTCAGCACTTGTCAACAGATGCAGCCTAGCCTTGCCTGGTCCACCTCCAGCCCCAACTCTTGTGGGTGGTACTGTGGCACAGTCCTGCATGGCCCCCATCCTGGTGATGGCATCAATGGGCTTAGCCTTCATGTGGCCACACCCCATTCTAGTCGTGTGCTGTGCCCAGCCCAGCCAGACTGTCAAGGTTTCTCCTCCCTACCAAACTACTACCAAACCTTAAACCTCCCTACCTGTGAGCAGCAGTGGAGCCCAAGCCTGGAAATTCCAGTTCCCATTCTGTGGTCATGCTTAGCTTGGTCCATCACCACCCCTAGCTTTCATGTAAGCCAGTGGGCACTGCAGATCCACAGGGCTGAACCCACATATTCCCTACAGAATCTGTCCCCAGAGCTGGTTCTCTCATGTGCTTATCAGTGTCATGGCCCTAGCCTTGTATGGTCCATTCCCTGCCCCGACATTCACTGGCAGGTACTGAGGCCTAGCCCTGTGAGGCAAGCCACCCAGCTCTAGCTTTCATGTGTGCCAGTAGGTGGTAGACGATGCCATCTGACCCAGCCCAGATCCAGACATGCCCTCAGGTTTCTCCTCTCTAAACTACTTGGTCTTAAATTCCCTAATTTACCTGTGAGTGCAGTGGCCCCCCAGTCTGTGGAAATTTCCAGAAGTCATTCCATTCCTGTAAAGTACTCCCTTGGTACGGCTCCGACTTTCACACATCCCCAAACCTCCTTCCCTGGGCCCTCCCCACTCCACTGGTGTGGGCCCTAGGGTTTTCTTCCAGTGGGACCTGCAGGTCCCCCTCCCATATATCTTTTTTTTTTTTAACAAGCAAGTATGCTGGCACACTGGCATAGTTAACACAAATTTGGCATTAGCCAGGCCCAGAATGCCTGCCAATTACTGGCTGCTTTTCTTCCAGCAGTGTTAACACTTTCCTGGGTACAAGGCAACCCCAGCAAGCAGTTGCCTACAGCTGGGGGTTTCCTTTCACTGGTGCCATTCTATATGTTAAGAGGAGACCCTGTATTTCTTGTGTTAGTCTTCAGATTTCTCGGACTTTACAGTTGACAGCTAGCAATACCTTTGCATTTTCTGTCAACTTAATGTATTTGTTTGAAGGGCAGAATGACAGACAGAGGGATAGTCTGTCTGGATTCATTCCCCACATGGCTGCAATGACAGGGCTGGGCCAGGTTGAAGCTAAGAGCATGGAACTCCACCTGGATTTCCATCCGTGGGTCGGGGACTCAAGGACTTGGGCCATCCCTTATTGCTTTCCCAAAGGCATCAACGTAGGGGAGCTGGAGCCAGAAGTGGAGCAGCTGGCATTTGAACTCACATTCTGGGACTCCAGCATCAAAGGAGGCAGCTTAACCACTGTGTCACTGCACTGACCCCAGTGTACACATTTTAAAGCAATTTGGGCCTGGCAAGATGACCTAGTGGCTAAAGTCCTCACCTTGAACACGCCAGGATCCCATACGGGTGTTGGTTCTAATCCCGGTAGCTCTACTTCCCATCCAGCTCCCTGCTTGTGGCCTGGGAAAGCAGTTGAGGACGACCTAAAGCTTTGGGACCCTGCACCCATGTGGGAGACCCGGAAGAAAATCCTGGCTCCTGGCTTCAGATTGGCTCAGGTCCAGCCATTGCAGCCGCTTGGGAAATGAACCATCAGATGCAAGATCTTTTTCTCTGTCTCTCCTCCTCTCTGTGTATCTGCCTTTCCAAAAAAATAAATAAATCTTTTTTTTTTTTAAAGCATTTCAAAAAGTTCTTTAGCTATTAGTGAAACAAAGCTGGGGGATTGGGTATTTACTCAGCAAGTAAGCTGCCTGTGCCCCACTCCTAAGCATACACTTGATTCCCTGCTCAAGCCCCTGACTCCTGACTCTAGCTTCCCACTAATGCAGAGCCTGGGAAGCAGCAGTGATGGCTCGGATAACTGGATCCCTGACTCCCACCGAGACTTGAATCACGTTCCCAGTTCCTAGCTTCAGCCAGTCCAGACCCAGGCGTGGCAGGCATTTGAAGTAGTAATCCAAAAGATGCAAGCTCTCTGCCTCGTTCCTCTCAAATAAATAGAAGTAACTAACAACACACCACGCTGCCATCAATGACCAGAATGCTAGTTTTTCAGACTCAATTACACAATCTTTAGAACCTGAAGTCTGCCCTACTGCTTGGTCAAAACCAAATCATGCTGGTCCTGGACAGGTCACGACAGAAGTACTCCTGCATTAATACTGACCGTTAAGTTCACACAATTCCTTGTTGACAAATTACTGCTCAAACCAGGAAGGACCATGCCAATGGGAGTCATGGCACCCAGTTAACCCAGGGAGGAAGAATTGTCTATAAACAGACAGGAGAACATGGCCTCTGCCTACAAGGGTACCCATTGATATAACACTCAGCTTGGGGTCAAAGAGCATACAAGGAAGACAGAGAAAAATTTATCCAGTTTTTAAAGCACACGTCAGACTCAGGTAAACAACATTCGTGAGGCCCTGGGCAATGTGGGACTCTTCAGTTCCCAGCACTCCCTTCCAGCGCATGGTTGCCATGTGGCTCAGCGACATTCACTGCTGAACTAGCTGAGTGCTGAGAGCCAGAGAAGAAGGGGTCCCCCACATGACACTGAGGGAGAGGATAAAGCTGCCTACAATTTACATGGCACAAACCTATGAAGTTGTCTTGAATAAGTATTTCTAAGTTATGAGTGCAAAGAATTTTATTTCCAAGGAAAGCTTTAATAAATCAAAACCTAAATTCAATACATTCATTAGAAGACAAGTAACTTCACAAAGCTTCTGACTTCACAACTGTAAGGCAAATGAGCAGTCTGTGCTACTCACATCAAAGCAAACAAAAGCAAACTCCACTTCCTTCCCATCTTATCACCACACGCGCATTCCTCCATGCTGCTCCCTGACTCACTCTGGTTTATTCAAAGAAACGGGGACCTGACCAACCTTTTTGCTGAATTGGTTCCTTCCCTTAAGGAGACACACTGGTGGTGACCAGTGGGACACCGCCCACGTCCCTGCTGGTGGGGCCAGAGGCCTGCCACACCTGAGACAGGTTCCCGTGGAGAAAGGCGCGGGAGCAGCCGAGACTCAGCTGTGGAGTTCCTGTCCCAAGGGTGTGGATCGCTGAGAACGCCAGCACTAAGCAGGTGGCAGGAGATAAAGAAGGCAAAAGCAAGGCTTTGGGGTTTGGGACAGTTCTTATTTAAACTCTGTGGAATCCACATGTGGGAGGCAAAAATGCAAGAACAAATAACTGCATTAACAGTGACAGGTCCAGCTGGTATAGGGAACAGAATACACGTCCAGTTCCCAGCCTTCCCATCTTCCATTTACCTACAAGCCTGAAGTTTGTAACGTGCTTGGCAAGGGGGTCAGAAGTCATTGTCACTTTCATCCAGGGGCTCAGGCTTTCGGACCCTTCGGCTGGGCTTAGCCGGTGACATAACAATGCTCTCATCTTCCAAATCATCATCATCTTCTTCATCATCTTCCATGTCAATCTCACTGTCCTCCGAGTCATCCTACAGGGAAAAGACAGCAAAATGCAACAGGGGTCCCATCTCACCACTGAGACCTTCCCTTTGTCTGACAGACTGGCCTATGCTTCTCCACTAGAAACTCAAGGAATAAAAGCACGATCAGCAATGGAGAAGCTGCCGGGCTGTGGGGCCTGAGAAGAGGACTGTGGGCTGTGCAGCGCTGGATGGAACACACCCAAGAAGCATGGCACCCCAGTGTGCGTCAGAGCTGGCAGCTGCAGGGCTGGCTTTCCCAGGTCCTCAGGAGCACCCCATACCGGCTCTATCTGGGTGGAAGATAGAAAGCAACACAGGCAGTGGGTATAAGGGGTGAAATGAAGAGCGAGCCTTCTCTAGGTCCAGGGTGACCAACCTCGTCTGTTTCATTGCAAGCTCTGTGCTACATGTAAACCAGCAAGGCTGGCCACCTCCAGCCCCTTTCCTGACAGTGAATCTAGATGCTGTAACCTTCTTACAAAAGCCAAAAACATGAGCCTGCTGCCTCTCTTGCCACTGTGCTCCTCTAGCAGAACTCCTCGAGTTGCTGAACTTACTGTCCTCCCTGGTTCCCCTGTATGCACCTGCTCATCAGCCTCCTATCACACCAATCCCCACGACTGCTCCGGCTCAGAATGAAACTCTCAGGGAAGTTCTGATGACGCTTGGCCTGTGGGCCGCACCTGACACAGCCTCAACACCATGGCTCTCAGGTCACATCTCCAACCTCCCCGGGCTTCAGTTATGACAGGTCACTGACTCAGGCATGGGGATGTCTCACAGATAATTCACCCAAGGAACATCCAAGACCAAACCCTGACATGCTCTAACCCCTTCTCAAGGGGCCTCAGCTTAGAAAACAAAGCCCTGTGTTTTTTGCTGACCAAGTCTCTCCCTTTCCCTGACACTCATGTCAATTGATCAACACAATCATGTGATCCTGAAAACATATCCAGCTTCTAGCTGTGGCTCACAACCTTTATTACCACTGCTGGAGGCTCAGCTGTGTTCACTTTTGACCTATACCAGGACCATGACAACTCCTGGGCTCATGGTTCTCCAGCTCCTTTCTGCCACACTCATTCCTCACTGCATCCTGTGAAGCCCTCCCCAGTACAACGCTATACCCACTATACCCACCACAGCCACCTGCCTTTCTCAGGCCTCCAACATCCCCGCATCAGAGAGCCCTGACTTCACAGAGAAGTCTCCCCAACCCCTTCCTGTCACTCCTTATCCCTCAAGTCTGCTCTGCTTTTCATTCTACTGCAGTCCTGGTATGGCTGGTGTGAGCCCATGCTGAGGGCTGGGCTGTTTCCACCCATGCTGTGTCCCCACCACCCTGGACACATCTGGCCGATGACCAGCTCCTGAGAGATGCACATTCTGTGGCTGGGTACTATTCCAAGGAGGACGTGCAGATGCAGGCTCTTGGAAAAGAACGGGCATCGAGGAGGCACTGAGCTCTGCAGCTCGCTGCCAGCTCATCCTCACAGGAGAGCCGACTCCACTCTCCAGGATCCTATGCTGCCAGACAGAGGAGTCAGATGGACGGGAGCTACTTAATCTCACACCTGCCTGGTTGGAACCATTCATTTCCCAGGTGCTTTCCTGGTTCCTCTAACATGTCTCCCATGAACACGAGACCCATTTTCTGAGCTACCTTGTCTGGTGGGCCATGTCCCACACTGTAGTAGAGTTGGCTTGGGACAGGCCAGCACAGTCACCTCTGTGCACAGGTAGCGACTGCAGAAAACAAAGGCTGAGAGTGAGAGAGCATTAGGTTTCTGACTCAGTTACAAGTCAGCAAAACTTGAGGTGCTTCGGGTCTGACTCAGTCTCCACCTGGCTTCCCTGAGGCCCTGGTCACGGGAGCATCATCTCTATGTTCCTCCTCCAGAACGGGGCATAGGAGAGGACTGGCCTGGAACCCTGGTCCTGTGTCATCCCTTCATGCCTATGTCATGCTTCAACTGTCTGACGACCCCCCAGTCACAACCTTCCCTGTCTTCTGGCTTGATGCTGTTCTTGTCCCATCCCAATGATCCCTTCTCAGGAGCGGCTTCCTGCCCAGGAGAGGGGCAGCAGTCTTGGGCGTGCTCTCTGTGGGCCCCGAGTGGGCAGACACACCAACAGTCAAGTCAAAATGAAAACCAACCTGCTTCTTGGAGCTGGAAGTCTTGGATTTACCTAAGAGTGCGGGTGCTGCTTCCATCTTTTGAAAGCAAGAATGGAAAGAACAGTGAGAAGGCGAAAAAAAGTATAACAAGCACATGCACGTGGACAGAAATACAGCATCAGTGAGCAAAGACAGGAGGCTGGCTCCTTCAAGGCCAAACTCCGAGCGGGGCTGACAGCAAATAGATCCCGAGCTGCTGGCAGCACCTCAGCCCAAGACCTGAGGACAGGGACCCACTAATGGGGTAGGCCAGGACTCACGTCGTCATCAGAGTCGCCACCCTGCATGGTGCCCACGATGTGCTTGTTGGGTCGTCCTGAGGGGGCAGGAGGGGAATCAGGAATTAGTCATGAAATCCTGGAAAATGGCATTACATGTTTGCTTTCCCTTAGAAAGGTTGGCAAAAAAGGAAGAATAACACTAAAGAATACATGCAAGTACAACCAACTAATCAGAACCACAACTAGTCAAAATGGAATTTCTCTGAGTCCTACAAAGAAAACAGGAAATCAGATATAAACACAAAATCATTAAAGAAAGGAATGTGTTGAGACAGTATTGTAGCCCAATGGATGGACAGCCACATGAAATACTGACTGGTTCTAGGTCTGACTGCTCCACTTCGCACGCAGCTCTTTGCTAACACACCTTGGCAGGCAGGGGGAAGACGACCAAGTACTAAGGATCCCAACACTGTGCAGGAGACCAGGATGGAGTCTCTGACTCCTGGCTTAGTTCTATTATGGGCATTTGGGGAGAAAACCAGTGGATGAAAATTCTCTTTCTCCTTGTATCTATCTCTCTCTGTTGCTTTGCCTTTCAGATTAACCAATCAATAAATCTGAAAGAAAACACACATGTAATCTATAAATGCTTTGGGGAAAAACAGTCACTGAACTCTAATTAGTTTTCATGCAGAGCAACTATTGCAAAAATTATTCCACCTTTATGGATTTCTATGTGGATTCTGGTTTGGTTTTTAAATAGGTTGCTTTTCAAAGCTCCTCATTATCGGAGGTGTCTTCTATTCCTCCCATGGAGGTCAAGAATGCTCAAACATGGCTACTGCTAGAACTCTGGGGCTGTCTTCCAAGTGAGGGGACCGTTAGGAGGGCAGAACTGCACCTACACGGGAGGCCCAAGAAGGAGCTCGGCCTGAGGAGGAGCCTGTGTGGGTGGCACAGAGAGCAGCTGGCTCAGGGCAGGCCTGGAGGGACGACTGAGCACCAATGACGAAAACCCTCTACAGTCCCACAAAACGTAGAACACATGTCGCTTGGAGCCCTTGCTTCCAGGCCTGGAAAAGGACCATGTGACTCCAGTCTACAGGCCAAGTAACCTAGAGAATTTAGGAGAACCCACGCTCAAATTAAGTGGTCTTGGGCTAATTGAACATGTTTTATGTATGGCTTCCACCCATCAACTTAAGAGTCAAACTTAATAAATGCTATGTCATGAAGCTACTACAGAATCTCAAAAAAGTAAAAGGAAACTAGGACACCTAATTAGCATATCAAAAAGAAGCATAATAAATGAAGACCACTGAGCTGGGACTAAAAGAAAACAGTTAACAATAAAAGTTTATGCCTGAAGAGTTGCTTAGATCTGGAGACCTCTGCAGACTTCACTGTCTGAGCATGCCTAAACCAAAAACCCCAAAATCAACATTTTTTGAGTACTGAGCTACTAAAGAAATTTCATATTTCAGAGCTTTTCAGATTAGGTAGCTTAACTCACACAAAATGATGAAATGAAGATGGCTTTAGCCTTGAAATGTATTAGCTATATAAGAAAATTGTGCAAAACATGGACAGGTGGTAGATAACAAATCTTTTTAAGAAAAAAAAAAAAACAGGGCAACTGGATAGCACCTATTACAATAAGATTTTACGGAATCTTTGACCTAAAAGTTCCATTGTTAATGGTGCATCTTAAACACTGACAGGGGCTGCAACCACGTGCCGTGCTGGCATCCCCTACAGGTGTTGGTTCATATCCCAGATATTCCACTTCCAATCTAGCTTCCGGCTAATGGCTTGGGAAAAGCAAGAGAAGACGGGCCAAGTGGTTGGTTGGGTCTCTGCACCCATCTGGGAGACCAGGGTGATGCTCCAGGATTCTGGCTTAAATAAAGCCCGGTCCTGGACACCTGTGGGCATTTGGGGACTGAGTCAGTGGGTAGAAGATTTCTCTCCCCTTCTCAGTCACTCTTTCTTTTTTAAAAAGACTTATTTCTTCTTATTGGAAAATCAGATATACAGAGAGGAAGAGAGACAGAGAGGAAGACCTTCCATCCACTGGTTCACTTCTTATGTGGGTGCAACAGCTGGAGCTGAGCCAAGCTGAAGCCAGGAGCCTGGAGTTTCTTCTGGGTCTCCCACACACGAGTGCAAGACCCCAAGGCTTTAGCCCGTCCTCAACTGCTTTCCCAGTCCACAGCAGGGAGCTAGATGGGAAGCGGGGCTGCCAGGATTAGAACTGGAGCCCATTTAGGATCCTGGTGTGTTCGAGGTGAGTGCTTTAGCCACTACACTATTGTGTCAGGCCCAATTCTGCCTTTCAAATAAACAAATAAATCTTCAAAATAATAATAGGGACCAGTGCTTTACTTCAATTGGCTAATCACCTCAAAGAGCTAGGATCCCATATAAGTATCGGTTTGTATCCTTGCTGCTCTATTTCCCATCCAGTTCCCTGCTTGTGGCCTGGGAAAGCAGTAGAGGATGGCCCAAAGCCTTGGAACCCTGCACCCACATGGGAGACCTGAAAGAAGCTCCTGGCTCCTGCTTCTAATCGGCTCAGAAGTATAATAAATAAAGTTTATATATTCTATAAACAAAAGAAGTAGCCACTGTGGCCACTTGGAGAATGAACCAGTGGATGCAAGATCTTTTTCTCTGTCTCTCCTTCTTTCTTTAAATCTGCCTTACCAATAAAAATAAATAAATCTTTACAAAGTAATTACAACAAAAACTGAAAGGAAGATGCAGAATCCTACACATAGTTTCATCCCACATAAGTTAAAGAACTTTCAGGCCATCTTGGCGCCTACATCTGGCTGTGTGTATGTGTGAGTGTGTGCACACATGCATGGAAGGCAATCTGCAGAAAGGCCGCCAGCACACACAGCACTCTAGGGTGGGAAGGGACAGGCCAGGCCCTGCGGGAACAACCACATCTGTTCAACTGTGTTGCCTGAATCTTTTACAACAAAAGAAACCAGAACATTTTTGAAAAGCCAGTAGTGTTCATCTAGGCTCTTGTGCTGCACATTAACTCTGGCCACAGGCATATAATGAATGGCGCTGAGGGCAGCTCCAGTTCCAGAAGTGAAGCTTCCCAACACAGGCAGGGGCCCCAGGTCTATGCGATGAACCTCAAGGCCCGGCCTTGAGTGGGGCAACCACATTAGTGCCAAGATGACCCAGAGCACTGTGAGAGCCTAAGCACAACAGCAGTGGTAGACCCGATGTCACTCACTACACACAGGTGGGCTCCAGCGTGAGCACGGCGTCCTGTGACGCAGGACATAGCGAGAACGTGTGAAGTAAGCTGCACTACCTTGCATGAGCACCTCCATCGCCGTCCGCGGCTTGCTCGGCCGCCTCTCTTCCACCTCACTGTCGGACTCGTCGTCCTCCTGGATGTCTATGTCTGAGTCATCATTACCTGGCAGGAGCACAAGGAGGCAAAGCACAAGAGGAGCTCTGTCACTGCAAAGAAAACCAAAACCCACTTGGGTCCAAGACAACACAGGGACAGAACAGAACCCTGAGATGTGAGTTCTGTGAGCCACAGAATGTCAGTGCATCCCTCAAGGGCTTTAATATAACCAACCTGGAAATCACCATTTCCCAAAAAGCTTTAAGGAACAGTTAGGGCTTGGTGCTGTAGTGCAGCTGGTAAAGCTGCTGCCTGGGATGCTTTATGGCCACCAGTTGGAGTCTTGGTTATTCCATTTCTAATGCAGCTCTCAGTTATGGAGGCTGAGAGCAATGGAAGATGGCCCCTGCCAACCAGGCTGCCAGCCTTGGCCTAACTCAGCCGCGGCCACTGTGGCCATTTGGAGAGTGAACCAACAGATGCTTCTCTGTAACTATCTCTCTGTAAGACTTTTCTTTGTAACTCTGCCTTTCAAATACAAAATAAATCTTGAAATAAATTCAGCTTGGCAACAGGCTGATCCTCCAGCTTGTGGCATCTTCATTCCATACCAGTGCTAGTCATGTCCCAGCTGTTCCATTTCTGATCTAGCTCTGATTGTGGCCTGGGAAAGCAACAGAGGATGGCCCAAGATCTCAGAACCCTGCACCCATGTGGGAGACCCGGAGGAAGCTCCTTGGCTTTGGTCAGCTCAGCTCAGCTCTGGCCATTGCAGCCACTTGGTGAGTAAACCAGCAAATGGAAGAACTCTCTCTGTCTGAAGTCTGAGTTCAGTAGGTAAAGCGAGCCTAGTGAGCAAGACCCCAGTATCCAGCCTTGCTCACTACTGGGAAGTGAAGGCTGGACTGCTCTTGGTGTCAGTTGACCTGAAACCAGAAAGGAGAGGAGCTGCTTTGGTAAGAGGGGCCTCTCAGCAGGCTCTGAAACTCACTAGAGACAGCCCAGAAAACAGACAGACAGTAAGATGCAGAAGGAAATGGCAGATCCTGATGCTTCAGGTTTAGATCCTTAATACAAGAGGGAATAACAGATCTCACCCAGAAAAAGCCATCAGCAAGAAGTCCAGTCCAATGTGGCAAAGCTGTCAACTCAACAGCCAGACCACGTGCCCCTGCTGCTGGCTCGACAGCACAGGGAGGCTGGCAGAGAGGAGTGTGAGTCAGCTGCACAGAGCACTCCTTCCAGGACCCAGGCCTACGCGCTGGCACTGCCTGCCTCTCTACCCGCGGACACCTTGCCGAGTGAGTCCGCATAACTAGGGACATTCTGAGCGGGCAGGGGGGACTATCATTACACATGTGGGCCCTCCCCTGCGTGCCCACTTAGTTCCAATGCCTATTTGCCTTCAGCATGCCAAGCCAAATTCTCTATTGTAGTTACAAATAATTCTAACTAAATGTATCATTTAAACAGGGCACATATTACTACAATTAGCGCAAGAACCAAATGCACTTTAACCCCTATGTAATTTAAACCAATCTCTTGAATGGACTTAAAAGGTACCTCAGAAACTGCCTTCTGGGGTATTTCTTTACCTATAATTATGTTTTGCACATTTAAAAATTCAAAACAGCAGATCCTACCACAACAAAAGAAGAGTTGAAAGAAAATACTTTTTAAAGCAAAGGTAGGGCCTGGCGGCGTGGCCTAGTGGTTAAGGGCCTCACCTTGAATGCATATGATCCCATATGGTCTCTGGTTCTAATCCTGGCAGCTCCACTTCCTCTCTATCTCTCCTCCTCTCTATATATCTGACTTTGTAATAAAAATTTAAAAATAAATAAATAAATAAAGCAAAGGTAAAAAAAAAACTGGTATGATAATTCTCCCAGGTAGCAGAGGGGGCCCAAAGAAGTCTCTGGAGAAAGCTTGCCTGACCTCCAGCCTTGAGCAGCCGCCTCTCCTCCTCCTTCAGCTTGTTCTGCATCAGGCGCAAGGTGTTCTCAGCCTCCTGTGGAAGATGAGGAGTGAGGCTCAGAAGAGGCAGCCCCGCTGGGGACTTGGCTCTCTACACAGTGTGACACGGCTGAGTGTAACACTCAGAACCAGTGAGAGTGAAAGGAAGGGGAAGAGAACCAGCACCAGCAGGTCCAGTCGGCCACACACTGTGGGAGGTGCTCCTATACGACTCAGCATCACCACGTGAGTACATGGGACAGCAGCACAACAGACAAGGTTTGATGGCACAGGTACAGCCTCTGACTCCCCGAGAAGCAAGTATGGGTTTTAGGGCCCAGTGCAATGGCTCTGTGGCTAAATCTCTGCCTTGCAAGCGCCAGGATCCCATATGGACACTGTTTCATGACCCGGTTGCTCCACTTCCCATCCAGCTTGCTGCTTATGGCCTAGGAAAGCTGTGAAGGATGGCCTAAAATCTTGGGATCCTCATGTGGGAGACCAAAAAGAAGCTCCTGGCTCCCGATTTTGGATTGGCTCAGCTCCAGCTGTTGTGGCCACTTGGAGAGTGAAACAGCAGGTAGAAGATCTTTCTCTTTGTAAATCTGATTGGCCTTTCCAATAAAAATAAATAAATAAATATATATATATATATACACAAAATATATATATATATTTTAGTAAAAAGATGTATTTCATTTGAAAGGCACGGCATCAGGCAGGGCAAGAGACAGAGGCAGAAAGACATCTTCCATTCACTGGTTTACTCCATAAATTGCCGTAACAGCCAGGGCTGGGCCAGGCAGAAGCCAGAAGCCTACAACTACCTCTGGGTCTCCAACACAGACCCAACAGCAAGACCCAAGCACTTGCGTCATCTTCCACTGCATTCCCAGGTGAATTGGCAGGGAGTTGAACTGGAAACAGAGCCACTGGGATGTTCTGATATGGGATGCTGGTCACACTGGTAGCTAGCACATGTCCACACATCAGTTCTGCTGGTCATCCCTGGACAACACAGTGACTCCACGTCATCCCAATGCCAAGTCTGTACAACAGCCTACCTAACTCAAAGTTGTCAAGAGTGTGGCAAAGAGGGACATGGTATGCTACCTTGACCACAGAGTCTCAATGACTACTCTTGGTAAAGATGAACCATGCCTAAAAGATGTGGTGACAGCGTGTTCCCCGTTCCCTGCTCAGAATTCCACATATGCCAGCATCTGGAATGTTCTCTCCTGAAAAGCATGGGTTGACAGGAACTGGACAGCTGGTCAGGTGGGTTCTGGGTCACTCATACTTGTTTTCCACAATCAGTAAACCTCTACTCCTCTCTATAAAGCAGTCTCTAATGAATTATCTTGGGTGACTCAGTAACTAGGGCTTGAAAATAAACCTTAAATGAACCAATGAAGCAAGTTTTTGGAACTGTCCTCAAGATCAGCTCAGCCGTGCAGTGCACACTAACCCAGAGAGGGCAGCAAGCCCGGCACAGCTCACATGCTGTGGGACCACACGGCTCCCACGTGACCCAACCCGGATAACCTAACACAACCGACTAAGCCGGGAGGTAAACACGAGGCTTCCAACAACAACTCCAGACTATGAGGGTGACATGTGCGAGTGGATGTCACCAAGTACAAAGCAATAGACCAAAAGGAACAGGCTGTTTGGACAGGCTGAGTGCTTACCTCAAACCTCTCTTGCTCCATTCTATGATGATCTTCAAGTTGTTGTTCTAGGTACGCTAAATTTCGAAACTTCTCGAGATAAATATCATACTGCTTTTGCAATTCTTCCTCAATCTTCTCATACTCATCCATAAAGGCAGGCCTAACGCGACAAAGCAGTAAAGGATTAAGCACACACTGGAGTTCAAACCTGCTCTTCAGCTTCCAGAACTGTTCTGGCCTTCCTTGGCAGGGCTGATTAGAGAAGGCCTTCACTCCAATCACTTTCCTTTTCACCCCTAAACAGTGCTTCTTCTTCTTCTTTTTTTTTAAATTGGGAAGTCACATATACAGAGGAGGATGAGAGACAGAGAGGAAGATCTTCCGTCTGATGATTCACTCCCCAAGTGACCGCAATGGCTAGAGTTGCACCCATCTGAACCCAAGACCCCAGAGCCTCTTTTAAATCTCCCATGCAGGTGTAGGGTGCCAACGCTGTGGGCCATCCTCGACTGCTCTCCCAGGCCACAAGCAGAGAGCTGAATGGAAAGCAGGGTCACCAGGATACAAACTGGTGCCCATACGGGATCCCAGTGTGTGTAATGCAAGGACTTTAGCTGCTAGGTTACTACACCAGCCCAGGTGCTTCTTTCCAAATCACAAAAATGTGCCCTTGATAACAAACTGAAATGATCCAGAAGGCATGAAGTCTAACAATCACTTACAATCCCAACTCCAGGTATAAGCCCTTAATTCCCGATACACATTTTTCCAAACTTTTCTGCACATACAGATCGGAATTAGCTGTCAACAGCCATACCACCCTGAATGCACTCGATCTTGTCTGATCTCAGAGACTAAGTAGGGTCCAGCCTGGTTAGTACTTGAATGGGAGACAGTAATTAACTTTCCAACAACCCCAGCTGCAGACAGCTGCCTCAGCTGCCTTGTACCTAGGTAAGCATTCCACTGCTGTGAGAAAAGCAGCTAACAGCTGGCAGGCATCCTGGGCCTGGTGAATGCCAAATTTGTGTTAACCATACCAGTGTGCCAGCATACTTCCTTATTCTATTCAATTTTTTTAAAGATATGTAGGGGGCAGATGCCTGCAAGCCAGCAGACGGGTCTGGAGACCTGTGTGTGAGTGTGCGGGGGCCTTGTGTAGTCAGGCAGGCCTCAGGCTGCCACAGCAAACTGCTGAAAGACTGGGGGCCTGTGAGCTAGCGGGCATGAGGGGCTGTGGATTGCTCAGAGAAGGTCTGGAGATGTGTGGGAGGGAGGACTGCTGAGGGAGAACATGACAGGTAAGGCATGATTTTTGGGGGACTTGCACCAAACCAAGCTACTAGAGTTGCAGGTAAACAAGGGGGCTGAGACCGGTGGTTTAGAGCAGGGAAACTGGAAGACCTTTTGAGGCCAAATCAGTACACCAAACCATATGAGAAACCTGAGTTGGGTTTGTTGGTATCGACCACAGCCTACCAGTGCATACAAAAACCATGGCTGGGGGCCCACCTGGCAGGGCTTGGCCACAGTACCCACCAGTGAGTACTGAGGCAGAGTGTTAGGCTGGGCCATGACACTAACCAGCTCATGAGAGAACTGGGTCTGGAGCAAACTGTGGGAGATCGTGGGCTCACCACTGAGGACTCCCACACCAGCTGGTTTGCTCAAGGTTGGGGTAGTGATGGGTTGAGCTAGATATGATCATGGTCATGGAACTCACCAACACTCATAGGTGCTGGGATTGGGAACACGCTGGGCTGGTCCAGGCTATAGCACCTGTAAGCACACCCAACAATAGGGTGTGGGGCAAACCGGCCACAACATCCACCAGCACACACAAAGGTTGAGACTGGGGGGCAGACTGTGCCAGGCAAGGATCTAGTAATCACTGGCATGCGTGAAATCTGGGACTGGGAATGGGCTGTTGAGAGAACCCCCCTGGTAGGCCATCACTCCCGCTGCTGAGTACGAGAGTCAAGGCTGGGTGTTGGTGAAACTGGGCAAGGCTGCTTTACTTGTTGGCAAATATGTGGGTTGGTTCCGGGAGTTTATCAGGCAGGGCTGGGCCAAACCATAGCACACTGGCATTCACAGGAGCCAGGATGGGGTGTGAACCTGCTGAGTTACACTAGGCTATCACACCTACCAGTTTGCATGAAAGTGAAGGATAGAGGCAGGCTGGGTAGGGCTAGGTTGCAGCACCCACCAATGAGAGTTGGGACAAACGGTAGGGAGTGGGGTGCAGGCCAGGCCAGGCCAATCAGGCTGCAGCATCTGAGGGCAAAGGTCAAGATGGGGGATGGGTTATTCAGCGCTGGATTGGAATAAGCACTGGCACACTCAGAATCTGTGGTTGGGAACAGGCCTGGTCGGGGAGCTAAGGAGATGCCCTGGCTGGGCTGTGGTTCTCACTGGTGAGCATGACAGCTGGAATGGGGACAGCGAACTAGACTGGACATGGCTATAGCATTCCTTTGCACTGTGGACTGGGTCTAGGGTGTGTCAGACCAGGTTAGGTTCCAGCACCTAGTTCCCAGAAAAATGAGGAATTCTTTGTTCCAAAGCATTACTATAAAACCAGTGTAAGAACCAGTGCAAAGTACTTCAACAACTATATTACTGTGACAGTATAAAACAGTGAAAAATAGTGATAAAAGTTTGGAAATAAGAAAAGAAGAACGTGGGTCCAGCACAAAAGTATAGCAGCTAAAGCACTAGCCCTAAATGTGCCGGGACCCCATATGAGCGTTGGTTCTAATCCCGGCGGCCCCACTTCTCAACTGGCTGATGTCATTTGAGGAGTGAACCAGTGCATGAAAGATAGATCCATTAATCTCTTTCCTCTCACCTTTGTCTTTCAAATAAGTGGACAAATTAATCTTTTTGCAGAAGTCCCATGAACGTAGGTGTTTTGAGCCCCTCTGACCCATGACTATTCTCTGAAAATGTGTTCCCAGTGAGGTCAAGTCAGCAAAAACATCTCACTGACCAGTGAGGAGTCATCAAAATCTAGAATCTATTCAAACCACGAGATGGGAGTATGTTTCTGTTTCCATTTGTTTCTGGCAAGATCTTCCAAGAACAAGTCTCATGTAACTTTCCCCATCTGGATTTACTTATTTTGCTTTGCATTCCAAGAAGTTATAAAAGCTTAAAGAATTTAGTGGTTTTCCAGACAAATTAAATGCAGGAAAGAGGAGTCAGGCAGTCTGCTCAGTGGACCAAGCAACACAGGCACGTTTCGGGACAGAGATGCCTCTGAGAGGCCTTCTCACTGCTCTGGCACTTGGTCCCTTCTAATCCCTCAGTCTCTGTCCTTCCTTCCTTTCTTTTTGTTTGTTTTGTTTTACTTTTAAATATTCATTTATTTAAAAGAGTGAGAGACAAAGAGATCTTTCATCACTCATTCGCTTCCTGGATGGTCACTATGGCTAGTACTGGGCCAGGCCAAAACCAGGAGCCCAGAACTCCTTCCAGGTCTCCTACATGGCAGCAGGGCCCCAGCACTTGGCCATCTGCTGCTTTCCCAGGCACACCAGCAAGGAGCTGGGTGGAAGCACAACAGAAGTGATGCAGGTGTCACAATGGTAACTTAACTTACAGCACCACAGGCGAGAACCCTCTACTTTTTGGTCCCCTATTTTTAATTTGTTCATTTGAGAACCAGAGAGAAAGATGGATAGTGAACTTCCATCTGCAGGCTCATGCCTCAGATGTCTGTAATGACTAGGATTCGGATAAAGCCGAAATTTCAACCCGAGTCTCCCTTCTGGGTGACAGGAACTCAACTAGTTTAACCATTAATGCTGCCACACTGGAAGGAGAGTGTGCCAGGAGCCGGAAGTGGACAGGACAAGACAACCAGGCACTCAGATACGGGGTGCAGTTGTCTTAAACCAGTGTCTTAATTGCAAGCCTAAATGCTTGCCCCTTTATTTCTAAAAATGTATTTTTTAAACTAATTTTTAAAGATTTATTTATTTTTATTGGAAAGGCAGATATACAGAAAAGAGAGACAGAGAGAAAGATCCTCCAGTGGAAGATGGCCCAAGTGCCTGTGCCTCTGCACCCATGTGGGAGATCCAAAAAAAACCTTTCACTTCTGGCTCTGGACTACCCAGCTCTAGCTGCTGTAGCCAACTGGGAAGTGGACCAGCAGATGCAAGATCTGTTTCTCCCTCTTACTCTCCCTGTAACTCTCACAAGTTAATATTGAAAACAAAACACTAACACATGGTAATTATACATATTTTGGGGGTACAGCAACATTCTATTCATGCAAAGGATGTTTCATGATCAGGCCAGGGTAACTGGCATATGTGTCCCCTCGACATTTATCTTTTCTTGGTGTTGGGAACGTTCGTAATCTCCCAGTTGCTCAGAAACAGCCCGTGAACTGTCGTCAGCCCTCGTTCCTGGTCTAGCGTATTCTCGTTTCACATTTACCTGACGCTCTGCAGGGTCTGGAGACGCTTCCGATTTCTTTCCAGTTCTAATTTCCTCTTTTCAATTTTGGCTTCTAAATTAGCTTCATCAGAGGCCACATTATTGAGCAGGTCCTTTGTCTTCTGAACCTGCACCTGCATTTGACAGGAAACAGAGACAATATGTCAGTGAGGACCACCACTCTGACTCCTGAGAGGAACTTTCCAACTCTCAGCTGTCAATATCATGCAGAAAGCACTACAGTAAACAAAGCAAAAAGGATCCACCTAACTATTTCCAAGAGGAAAGTCACAGAGATCCAAAAAAAAAATCATTCACCAGGATCCCATATGGGTACATTTCTACCCAGAGATACAAAGATGATCGATGTCCAGACCGACAGAGAGAGAGGTCTGACATCTGCCTGGAGTGCCTGCATGTGACTGGGCACATATCACCAGGAGCCAGTGGCTACCCTTGGCAGCAATCAGGCGGCTCCTCTGGTCAGAAACGGCCACTTTCAGAAAACCTGTTCCCACAAGTACACTTGAACTGGAAGAATGCGAAACGACCCGTGGTGGGCTCAGCCCTGACCCACAGCCTGCTGGGACTGAGAGAAGAAGGTTCCTCTCCTTTCCACTCCAGAGGAGCCACTCTGCTGGTAAAATCAGTGGCAAGGCTGTGCAACAGGAGCCCGGGCAGCAGGCTGGGCAGGAAAGGGACAGGGCCGGGGCCAGGGCTGGCAGCCACAGACATCTCTGCTCTCTGAGAGTCCACGGGAAGCAGTTGTGGCCAAAGCAACACATGGCATCCTCACACGGGTATGCCTGGGAGGCTGGTTCAGGCAGGAGCCTGGCAGCTCAGAGCTCCTGTCTGCTGCAGCAGGAGTCCGGCTGCATCCCCAAGGTGTCTTCCCATCCCAGATGGTCCCCCTGCAGGGCTTGGTACAAGAGCCGACACCCCCAAAGGCTTCCTGTTCACTTGCAGGTCTCTCTGTAGCTTTGGGGTACATGGAGGAGTGTAAATGGTTTGACTCTTTTTGTTTGGACACCACGACACTTGCAGGACAGCAGTCCTACAGAGCACTGACTGCAGTTCCAGGGCCTCCAGTGGGCACATGCCCACTCACAGGGTCAAAGTCAGATTAAAACCCACCACATCAATTTGACATTAAAAACAAAAATTACTTTTTACATATAATCTGTTCATTACATGAGACGAGCAATGTGTAAATGCAAACATTTTCCCTGGTTTTCTAAAAACAATGATGTGTACTTCCCAACTCCTCCCACGTATCTGCACTGCTGGGATCACTGAGGCTTCCCACACCGGAGATGCCTCAGGGATGGCCACCAGGACAGCAACTGTGCCCACCTGAGGCTTTCCACAGATGACTGCAACATGTGCAGCTGACTCAGCCAGGACACTGGCAAACAGGAGGGTGTCATTTTCAAACTACAAAGAATCACAAACTCACAGAAAAGTAAAACTTGTCTCTGGTCTCTTAGTCAGAGATGAGATCAGTCCTGGCCTGCACAGTCACAATCAGTGCTCCCAGTGCCCCACGCCACAGGCACCAGCACCCTCTCCACTCCACAGCTGAAGAGACAGAGGGACCTACAGCTTGGCAACTTGGCTCAGATCACACAGCTGACTCCCTGTCACTGTCTGCCTTCCGAGGGAAGCCTCTGCATGAGAGAAGCAAACGCGCTGAGCGGATAGGCTGGGGACCACTCTTCCAATGCAGCGCTTTTTAACATTAAGAAAGCTTAGAAAACACTGACTTGGCCAGCCAGGAGGAATCCGTAAAGTAAGACAATGCATTATGTACTGAAATAATGCATTAACCTTCAGTAACAACAGAAACTAATATCTGTAACGAAGGGAAAAACAACAGTAAGAAGCAGGCAAGATTTCGTAAAAACTTTTCTATAAATTCTCAATTTCCCCACTAATTTTTTTTTTTTTAACTAGAAAGGCAGTTCTAAAGAGAGAAAGCGAGACACAGAAAAAGATCTTTCATCCGCTGATTCACTCCCCAAGTGGCTAGAATGACCAGAGCTGAGCCAATCTGAAGCCAGGAGCCAGGAGCCTGTCTGGGTCTCCCACGCAGGCGCAGGGTTCCAAGGCTTTGGACCTTCTACTGGTTTTCCCAGGCCACAAGCACGGAGCTGGATGGGAAGTGCAGCAGCCAGGACCACAACTGGTGCTCAATTGGGATCTTGCTGCTTACAAGAGGAGGATTAGCCAATCAAGCCATTGTGCCAGACCCTAATAAATACTTATTACATCCACCTTGTTTGTGGATTGAACACTTAAGAAAAAGGTATTTCTGAGTCCCAAGAAGAAAAATATTAAATAGGGACTGGTGTTGTGATGCAGTAGGTTAAGCCCCCTACAGTGCTGGCTCAGTTGCTAGATGGGCCTGCGAAGCAGCAGAAGACAACCTGAGTACATGGGCCTCTTTATGTGGGAGCCTCAGATGGAGCTCCTGGCTTCCGGCTTCAGCCTGCTCCACACCTGGCCCAGCCCTGACCACAGTGGCCATCTGGGGAGTGCGCCAGCCGGAGGGGGATCTTCCTGTCTCTCCCCTTCCCTCTGTTATTCTGCCTTTCAAACTTTTTAAAATAATAAAAGCAGAGTAATCTTACCAGTATCTCTTTTATTGCAATTCTCATTACTTTTTCAGTCTCATTGATTTCCAGCGGTCTTGCAATGGCTTCTGTTCTCAGTTCCTAGAGCAAACAAAAAAACATTTTCATATATTTTCAGAAAAATTGTTTCAAAACCAATGTTCTTAGATCTAGACATGGCTCAACGACCAATTCTCAACATTTCATTGCAGTGTGGATCTCTGATACCACACTTCCCCCTCGCCTCCCTCAAGGCCGGCCCAGGCTCCGAATGCCCTCCTGGCCTCACTCCACAGCTCAGGATCCTCAGCCTGTAGCTCCGCGGGCACCAACTCCACCTGTAAATGTGAATGCAACAGTGCCTTCTTCTCCCTTACATCTGCATCCTCATCGCCACTCTGCTCATGTGACTCCCGAACAACATGGCGAGATGTGCTGCCTGCATCCCTTATCAGCTCCATAAGTTTCCTGTGACTAAGCCCTGCATGGTGCTTATCTCTGACTCAGGCTCACCTTGTCCCAACCCTCGTGTTAACCAGGAGCCAATCAGGGTGGCAGTACTGGATGCTTCTGAGAAGTGGGCTGCATTATGAGGTTTGCCAGACTGAACGTGTGTCCCATTTCCCCGGCTCCTGTGTTGAAATCCTCCCATCATGATGATACTGGGAGGTGAGGTCACAGGGCTGTATGCCCAGGAAGGGCATGAGCGCCCTGACAAGAGACCATGCAGAGCTCTTTGACACTGGTCACACAAGGTCTAGCAGGAGGGAACAGGCTCTCACCAGCTATCACACCTGTGGGGTCCCTGATCGAGAACGGTGAGAATGACATGTGTGTTTGTTTATACACCTCTCAGGGTAGTGCATGCTGTCGTGGTAACCCAAGTGGACTAGACGAGGCTCATGGCCGAGGTATCAAACACCATCCGTGCTTCCTCTACTGAGTGGTGCACTTCATCTCCACACGGGGAAAACACCACCAACAGGGACAGCTTGCTTACTCGCTGCTTGCTTGAAGAGGAAGAGCTCGCTGCCTTGCCGTGGTTGGTGATCACTGGTGGGGGACAGCCTCGGCACCAGGCAAGGTTAACGTGTGGCGGAGTGGGTGAGGGCAGGGAAGCACCCACTGCCAAACGCTGGTTAAAGGCAGTGGATGGAATAAGGACGCACCAAAGTTCCTTCCCAAGGCCACATCAACTGCAGCTGATGGGGAGCGGCTGCCAATCAGCAATCCCAAACTTTGCTGTGGTGAGTGTCACCCAGGAGATTTCTGCAACTCCCAATGTCATCAGAGTGATTCCCTGGTGATCCCCAGGTAGCGAGGCTGGCACACGTGGGTGTAGCCAAGCACTTCTCACGAAGGATGCTGCGGCCAAGGAAGTTGTGAGGAACAAGCACCAGGACCAGAAGGGCTGGCACAGGCATGGGAGGACAGTCTCAGCCACACAACACACATCCACCTCTCTCAGCTGGCACGTACCAGAGCAGGAAGAGGAGCTCATGTTTGATACAACTCTCCCAGGAAGCATGAGTTACACAACTGAAAGGAACCAAGAGACACAAGGGAGAAGCAGAACTGAAGAGGAAATGTGCTTGGTGAGGGAAGTTACTTTGACACTGCTCACCCTCAGCTCAACCTCCTTGCCCAGCAAGTCATACAGGGATGCTCCTTTGGAAGTGATCTCAGAAGCAAGCTGCCTGGCTGCTTTCAGGTCGGCCACCTGGAAGAAAAACACCAACCCAGAAACCTCAGTGAGGGGTTTGATTTGGCATTCAATGCTTACCAGTACAGCTGCTTCCTTCCAGCCGGAAGCTGCACCACAGGACACACTTCAAAGTGCCACACACCAACCTGCCACAGCTGAGAGCTCTCAGGACAGCTGCTGAGGACACCTGGGCCAAGCAGACACGAGGCCAGTCCCACAACTCCTTGCTCTGAGACACCAACATCAAGGCCAACTGAGTCCACAAGCTGGAGGTACAAGGCAGTCTTTTCTTTCTTTTTTAGGCATAAATGGCACTTTTATTACAATGCATTAAAATAAAGAAATTAATAACAAAAATAAGTCTTCCAACATGCAAGCTTTTAAACCTGTTAAACCACTCTGGTGAAACAGAAAACAAACTGAAATTTTAATTTTTTACATAATAACGACGAAAACTTTACACGTTAGATCCTCTATAAGTTAATGGTGAAAAGAAAGCAAACATTGTTCATCCTACTCTTTTTTGTTATACCAAGAAACTATTATTTTTAAAGTTTTATTTGTTTTATAGCAAGAGAGGGAGAATACTCTATTCTCTGGTTCATTTCTGAAATGTCATAAAAACCAGGGCTGGTTGAGGCAGAACTAAGAGGCAGGAACTACACCCAAATCAGCCACATGGATGGCAAGAACCCAAGTAAGTCCCAACCTTGTAGATGCCTTGGCAGGAAGCCAGATCTGAAGCAGAGGAATCAGGACTCACACCAGCATTCCAATACGGGGTGTTACAAGGGAGTCTTTAAAGGGCTCACGGACTGGGGGCCAACACTGTGGGGTAGCTGGTAAAACTACCACCTGTAGTGCTGATATCTCATATGGGTACTGGTTTGAGTCCTGGTTGCTCCACTTGCAACCCAGCTCTGAGCTAATGTGTTTGGGAAAGTAGTGAAAGATGGCCCAAGTCCTTGGGTTCCTGCACCATATGGGAGAAGAAGAAGCTTCTGGCTCCCAGCTGCAGACCAGCTTAGCTCCGGCCACTGCAGCCATTTGGAGAGTGAACCAACAAGTCGAAGATCTCTCTCTCCTCCAATACCCTGTCCTCCATAACTCAGCCTTTCAAATAAATAAATACTAAAAAAAAAACCAAAAGAGCTCCTGGATAAAAAACTGAGAGGGTAATGTCAATTTTCAAGGCTGACATGCTCCCTCTTGGAGGTCAGAGTACGGTCCCCTGATAGAAGCAGGGAAATGGGGGGTACATACCTGATACCCTCCTGGAGGCCTCTACTAAACTTCCCTTTGCCCACTCTCTGTCTGAGGCTTTGGGGCTACAGCCACTAGGCACTGCCAGCCATCCCAGATTCCCAAGTGGGAGCCACCGCAGGAAGACGACAAGCAATGACACCCTCATCTCACCCAGCCTTCAAGCTCCAGCTTCTCTTCCCTACCCAGCACGGCCCTCCAGCTCCGGCTGCTATCCCCCCTCGTGGCAGACAAGCCCCGCTCTCTGCAGGATTCCCCTCATACTCCCACTTCTCAGCAGTCCAGCAGGCCGGCCTTCCGCCACACTCCTCCACCTCACGGCTCCCCCATCAACGTGATGATGCTTCGCACACCCCCAGCTCCAAATGGGCTTGTCCCTGCACCCCAGCCTCTGCTCCACCTCCCCAACCACCCAGATTCCTCTGCATTTCAACAAGGAACAACTTCATCCTTTCAGGCACTCAGACTGAAAACTTGAGTGCTGCAGCCACTTACCATGGCAGCCACGTCCACTGTGAATGTTACAGAACGTTATAGAAGCTAGCGCTCGGCTCCTTGGCAGGCTGGCCATACGGCAGTGGCTCCATTCGGCAAACAAACAGCCCGGCACTGCCTCAGGATCTCCCCTGCGCCTTCTCGCTTACACTCGGGCCCCATCCGATCCCTGAGGCCTACCAACAGAGTGTGCTAACCTCAAGCCCAGGGATGGGGAATTCGAATATTTACAATATCATTCACAAATCACACCAAATTATTTATGAAAAAATTAGCCTGTTGTGGAGTCTTTGAATTTTGAGTCCTGCCTGCCTTTGTCTTTAAAGGGCCAGACCAAATGACCTCACAGGCCTCAACAGGCCCGCAGGCCACACGTCCCCCACCATGGCTGCACCCACTTCTCTCCACCAAGCAGCCTAGTGCTCAGGCCCAACCTGAGGTGATGACAAGGTTCACCCAACCAGACCTCCTGGGTCGCTGTGATTACCACACAGCAGCGGCCCGGTTCAGGCACCATGGTGTCTGACGGGAGCCACTCCAAGAACTCAGGTCCTGGAGTGGGCCGTGCTCCCATTCGCACTCCTAACAGAGTTCCCTTATTCCTAGGCCAGAGCCGGGAGCTGAGGTCCCCATGGGGCCAGGGCAAGCTCCGAGGCAGCACACCCATCCTGACTCAGCAAGCAGTCCTTTTCCATCCCCAGTTCTTCATAGCTCATGAGACCAGAAGCTGCTGCCACTCAGGCTAGGAGGTCCCTCAACAGAGAGGCCACTATATTTGTCCTAAACCACACAAGCTAACCATCACCGTGGAGCTTGGTGACAAGCCTTCAGTTTTGCTTGTGGTGTCAGTTCCTCCATGCCAGACAGCCCTGAGCTCTGCTTTGCCCATGCCCTCTGCCCAGAGTGCCCAGAATCTGGTGTTTTTGAAATGGCTTTCTCCAGCTACGGAGACGCCTTCAGCCTGGAATCGGGAAATCAAACGCTCTGCTTAAAATCCTACCACCTTCACTCAAGAGTAAGAGTGAAAGGCGCCCCAGGTGCCAGAGGGCCTGTCACAGCCTTGCCTCCCGCCCTCATCACCCAGCTTCCCCGTTCTTCCTCCAACGCACAAAGTGCACTCTCAGAGCCCACCTGCCTGCACGCTCTGCCGCTCCTCCGCCTCAGATCTCTGAGGTCCCCAAGCACTCCTGGTTGCTGTCCCCTGCCTTACTCTGACCATGGCATGAATGACGTGGGGCCTTCCATACCTCAGCACTGCTCTCCAATTGATGGTCCCCAACCCTGCAACATGGATGTAGGGTCACTCCTGGTTCACCTTGATGTGAAGCACTGGGCTTTCCACATTCGCACTCACTGCCTGTGACTGCCAGCACTGAAGAGCACAGCTGGCAAGACGCCCTTCAGACACGGAGACAGGGTGCTCCGAGGCCGACACGGATGCCACGGCTAGCCGGAAGAGCATATTCCCGGCCCTCTCCGCAAACCTGCATGGCCCTTACCTTGGAGCCCAGGTCAAACTTGAACTTGCTGATGTCTTCCTCTCCCATCTTAGAGCCCTCCATCCCTTTGGTCTTCATGGCATTATACAGGACAGATGTGATCTTCAGCAGCTCCTTTACCGCATAGCCATCCGCCTGGTACAGCTTCTTTGTGTTGAGCTTTATATGTGCCTTTGTGGCCTATTTTTACACAAAAATGCAAAAGTTGAAGGTCCTTTCCACATAATGTACAAACAAAATCCTACATTGGCGATTTGAGACTGTCTCTGCCAATACTGGGTTATAACAGAATAGAAAAAAAAGGAAGTATTCAAGAGATCTGTGAACAGGCGTGCAAACTGCTGTAACCAGGATAGACAGAAATTTGGTAAAAGATACCAACATTATAAGTGCACGTAACTTTCACCCAGCAATTCTAATCCCATGAATTGACTCTGGCTACACTCACACATGACAGATTATGTCAGATTACAAGTTACAGCTCTGCTTCGAAGAGCAAAAGGTGCATACAACTTAAATACCTATCTACGCGCCCAGCGTGGTAGCTTAGTAGCTAACGTCCACACCTTGCACATGCTGGGATCCCATATTGGTGCTGGTTCTAATCCCAGCCAACCTGCTTCCCATCTGGCTGGGAAAGCAGTAGAGGATGGCCCGAAGCCTTGGGACCCTGCAGCTGCATGGGAGACCCAGAAGAGGCTCCAGGCTCCTGGCTTCCGTTCAATGCAGCTCTGGTTATTGTGGTCAATTGGAGAGTGAATCAATGAACGAAAGATCTTCCTCTCTTGTCTTTTTAAAATATTTACTTATTTTTATTGGAAAGGCAGATATACTGAAAGGAGAGGTAGAGAAAAGATCTTCCATCTGATGATTCACTCCCCAAGCAGCTGTGACAGCCGGAGCTGCGACGATCTGAAGCCAGGAGCTGGGAGTCTCCTCGTGGTCTCCCACGCAGGTGCAGGGTCCCAAGGCCGTCCTCAACTGCCTTCCCAGGCCACAAGCAGGAAGCTGGATGGGAAGAGGGCTGCTGGGATTAGAACCTGTGCACATAAGGAATCTTGGTGTGTGCAAGGTGAGGACTATAACCACCAGGCTACCGTGCCAAGCCCAAAATCTTCCTCTCTATCTCTCTTCCTCTTTGTATATCTGACTTTCCAATAAAAATAAAATAATTCTTTAAAAAATTTTAAAAAACCTACCTACATAAATTACATACATTATGACATCCATGCAAGCCAACACGACTCAGGTACTAAGTGAAAATAAGGGAATTCTGTATGTATTTGGCACATTCTCCAAAAATAAACTACTAGTTGAAAAAAGTTAAGATGCTAGCCAGTAGCATATAGTATGCTACCATATGTGTAAAATAAAGAAAAACACAAGTTTAATTTGCTTACATGTACCATGAAGTTTACATGTATCATGCAGAAAATAGCACTAAAAAGGTGCAAAAAATGTTGAGGTCCATGCAATTGAGGGAACATTCAAAGAGTTCATGGAAAATGTGTATTAAGAACTACATCTCGATAATGAAACTTTTGCAGTGACTACTGGGAAGGCAACTGGGCTAAAGAAAGACAGTACAGAAAGCCAACTGAGTCATTATTTCGTGATTTTTAAAAAATTTGGATCATGAAACATATTACCTAATTCAAAATCAGCAAAGGCTGAAGTAAAGAGCAGCATGTGGTGTGGTGGTCACTACGCCCCTTGGGAAGCCTGTAATCTTGTCAGAGTGCCTGGGTTCAAGTACCGGCTCCACCTGCTAGTCTCCCTTCCTGCTAATGCACATCTTAGAGGGCATCAGCAATGGCTCATGTTCTTGGGTCCTTGTTTACGATGCCAGGAGACTTGGAATGAGTGGTGAGCCCCTGGCTTCATGTGGCCTGGCACTGGCTGCCACGGGCATCTGGAGAGTAAACCAGGAGTAAGAGGACTACTCTGTCTCCATGCCTTTCAAACAAAAATGGAAATAAATAAAAAAGCAAGGAGAAAATGCCTTAACTCTGACTGGTGAGAAGGTTCCATAAAAACCTGGCAAAAAAAAATGGTTTTAGAACTGAACTCAATTTGAAAGCAACACTAACCAGAATGCACCCCTAACCTAGTCAAGTTTATAACTCTACCAAATAAATAAATGCCAACTGTGGCCAGTGTGTGGATAGCAGGTTAAATCATTGCTTGCAACATAGGCATCCCATACTGGAGCGCTGGTTCAAGTCCTGGCTGCTCTGCTTCCAATCCAATTCCTACTGAGAAAGCAGCAGATAATAGCCCCAGTACTTAGGTTTCTATTAAACCCATGGGAGGCCTGGATAGAGCTCTGGGCTCCTGACTTCCGCCGGGCCCAGCCCCAGCCACTACAGCCACCTGGGAAGTTAATCAAAGGATGGAAGATCTCTCTATTATTTTGCCTTTCAAATAAATCTTTGCAACAAAACAAAACAAACAACACCTGTCAACTAACCATGAACTGGGCAATTGCCTTGATGAAGAAAACTCGATCTTGTTCGGTCTCTACGTCAGAAGGGATGTCAGTCTGCGGCTCATACCTGTCAGAGAAAACAAACACAGCATTCAACAAAAAGCAGGCAACTGAGAGGGCGGCAGAACTGCCACGTGAGGCTCTCCACATCCCAGCTGCGGCAAGACTCAAAACACAGCGAGAGCAACACAACAAGCCAAATCCCTACTTCAGAATCTAAGGTCTAAGGAATTTCAAAAATCAAATGTGGGGCTCAGCTTACAAATACCCCCAACAGATGGGGCTGGACTAAGTTGCAGCCAGAAGACCAGGACCTAATCTGGATCTCCCACACAGGGAGCAAGGATGAAGGAGCTGAACCACCATCTGTGGCCACCCAGGCAGCAAGGGCAGCGAGCTGGAATTCAAAGTGGAAATGGAACCTGAACCAGACACTGCAAGATGGAACATGGCCATCTCAAGTGGCAGTTTAGCTAAACTGCAGTGTGCCTCTTTTAAAACCTTTTTAGATATATTTCATTTTCATTTGAAAGGCAAAGTTACAAAGACAGAAGAAAAAATAGAAATTTTCTGTTGGTTCATTCTCCAAATGGCCACAACATCTGGAGCTGAGCAGATCCAAAGCCAGGAGCTCTTTTCCAGGTTTCCCACATGCATGCAGGGGCCCAAGGACTTGGACCATCCTCCACTGCTTTCCCAGGCCACAGAGAGCTGGCTCAGAAGCTCAAAAGCCAGGACTTGAACCAACACACCAATGGGATGCTGGCACTGCAGTCAGAGACTCAGTGTGCAATGCCACGACACCAACCCTCCAACGATTACTTCTAATTTAGTTGAGTTTTTTAAAATGTGTGTTTATTTGGGCCTACCATGAGAGCCTAGTGGATAAAGTTCTTGCCTTGCATGAGCTGGGATCCCATATGGGTGCCGGTTCGTATCCTGGCTGTTTCACTTTCCATCCAGCTCCCTGCCTGTGGCCTGGGAAAGCAGTCGAGCACAGCCCAAAACCTTGGGATCCTGCACCCATGCAGGAGACCTGGAAAAAGCTCCTGGCTCCTGGCCTCAGATGGGCTCAGCTCTGGCTGCTGCAGGTACTTAGGGAGTGAATCAGTGGATGAAAGATCTTTCTGTCTATTCTCTCTCTGTAAATCTGACTTTCCATTTAAAAAAAAAATCTTTAAAAAAAATGTGCATTTATTTATAGAGGCACAGAGAGAGAGAGCAAGAAACCAACTCAGAGAAAGAGAGGAGTGCTCTCCCAGTGCTGGTTTGCTCTCTACAGTGGTAGAGTCGGGAAGTTCATCCAGAACTCTCATGTGGGGGGCAGGCACCCGTTTCCTTGAGCCTTCTCTGTGGGTTCCCAGGTGGCACTGGCACAAGGCCACAGGCGGGAGCCAGGTCAGCAGTGAAACTTCAGAACCGTGCCTGTGTGACACAGGCATGCTCACAGCTAGGCTAAGTGCTTGCCCTAACATGACTTTCAAGCTACAATCAAGTCTGTCAATCGCACACACTTAACAACACTTCCTCTTTTGCACCACAGCATCCTGTTTCTAGGTGACCAATAAATGAAATATAACAGTCCCTCTTAAAAAGCAACAAAATGTAGTCCAAACCTTTTCACAAGCCACAGCAGCACCTCGGATACGAGTCCAAAATTGGGGGTGCGGAAATTTTCCATGGAAATATGTCGTGGGTAACCCAACGCTCTCATCATCTCTGTAAAATCTGTCCAAAGAAAAGATGATTCAGCCAGTTTCTTTTTTTTTATTGTTATTAACATTGTATTATGTGATACAGTTTTATAGGCACTGGGGATTCCCCCCACCCCTCCCAGCCAGTTTCTTAACAAATGGCAAGTACATGTACTCTGCGTCCCCTCTTCCTGCAGTCTCCTGAGAGCTTTAGGATAATTTTTATCAACTCTGCAAGAAAATGGAGGGGTGTTTTTTTAAGATTTATTGATTTTTATTTGAGAGGCAGGTTTTAAAAAAAAGATTTATCTATTTTTTTCTTGGAAAACCAGACTACAAAGAGGAGAGACAGAAAGAGATTTTCTGTCCACTGATCCCCTCCCCAAGTGGCTGCAACCGCCAGAGCTGAGTCCAACTAAAGCCAGGAGCCAGAAGCATCTTCTGCGTTTCCCGCGTGGGTACAGGGTCCCAAGACCATGGGCTGTCCTCAATTGTCCTCTTGGGCCACAAGCAGGGAGCTGAAAGGGAAGTGGAGCAGCCAGGATACAAACTAGCGTCCACATGAAAGCCCTGTGCATGTAAGGCAAGGACTCTCTGCCAGGCCCTGAAAGGCAGAGGCAGATTTTTACAGAGAAAGAAGAAACAGAGAGGTCTTTCACTCACTGGTTCATTCTCCAAATACCCGCAATGGCCAGAGCTGGGCTAGTCTGAAGCAGAGCTGTCCTCCACTGTTTTCCCAGGCCATAGCAGCACTGGACGGGAAGCGGAACAGCTAGGACACAAACCGGCGCCCATAAGGGATGCTGGCACATGCAGATTAACCTGTTGAGCCATCGCGCTGGCCCCAGGAAACATTTAAAATTACCAGGATTCCACCTAAGAAACATTTTCAAGTTCAGTGAGAGAAGTAATGACATAAAAATGAGGCTTAGGAATTAGCTGGGACTTTCTCTCCAATATTTTTCTCCTACTACTCAAACTAAAATGCCAGGCCTTATAAGTTACTTTAAAATATTAATAGTAGGCCTTTGGGGGTCCAGCATGATGGCCCAATGGCTAAAAGCTCACTTTGCACGTGTAGGATTCCATATGGGCACCGCTTCCTATCCAACTCCCTGCATGAGGCCTGGCAAAGCAGTCGAGGACGGCCCAAAGCCTTGGGACCCTGCACCTGCATGGGAGACCCAGAAGCAACTGCTGGCTCCTGGCTACAGATCAGCTCAGCTCCAGCCATTGCGGCTACTTGGGCAGCGAACCAGCAGAGGGGAGACCTCTGTTTCTCCTCTCTGGAAGTCCAAGCTGCCTTTCCAATGGAAATAAATAGCCCTTTAAAAAGTAATACATACATATATGGAGAAAGAACAGGCATTTAGGGAGGGGAATTAAAGTTTATGCTTCTAAGCTCTTTTTTTAAGCATATAAAACCTTAATACATGTTAAAACATTCGTTCCCTTGTCTTTGGAAAAAGATTAAGATGTATGGCAGCTACAGAGCAGTACTTGGATTTACGACAAAACGTGACGCAGGCCCCCTGTCCACTGCAGTCACCTAGGGAAAACCTGTGGTGCCTGGAGCAAAGGGACAGCAGCAGCGCCCGTGAGCTCCAGGATGCACCTGCAGACTTCAGACAGAAAGGCACAAGTGCGGGCCTGCGGCAGCATGGACGCGGCAACCCCAAGCAAACAGCCTCCTCTACCACCTGCGTGTCCCTCGCGTCCCTCACACCCTCACCCCGTGGTTCGGCGTTTTGTACGAATGTTCCAGAACGGTAATGTAGCCGGATACACAACAACCAAGCTAAGCCCACTAGCTCGCGTCAAGTGCTCCAGGGGCAGAGACCTTGTGATCACCGAACAAACCGCCGAGAGATGGGGGGAGAGGAGCTCTTTAAAAACTGCGTGGAAAATGTGTATTATGAAAAAACTGCAGGAATTTCAAACATTTTGACACCCCAAGAAACGCATCTTTTAACTTGATTTTCTTCGGCCTTTTGGAAGCACCCCGCGTCACACAGGGCCTGGGCAGCGGCCTCGGCGGGAAGGGGAAGCGCCGCGCCCTCAGCTCCGGAGCCCGAACGTCAGGGAGCCGCGCGGGCCACGGGGCAAGGAGTCGTCTTACTGCGGAGCTCGCGGAAAGACATCCTGCTTCCGTCGCCGCCAACCCCGGTCCAGGTCACCGCCGGTCTCCTCAGCGTCCTCAAGTCGGGCCGCAACCCAGTCTCTATGACAACCGAGGAGCCGCGGACGGCGCGCGGTCGGGGCCAAACACCACCGGGACCGAAACGCGGCCCGGGGCGCGCGGCAGGGCCTGCAGGGGGCCCAAGGCAGCGGCTGACGGGCTCGAGCCCGTCCGTGGTTCGCACGCGCCCTCTCACGTCCGCATTTCTGTACGCGCTGCACCAGGGCTCTCGAAGCCGGGGCTTCCGCTTGTGAGACACGGTTGGCCCTGCCGCCCACTTCCGCTGCCGCCTCGAGGAGACCAGACAGGCTACGGGCGTGAGGCGGGCGGCCCGTAGCGCGCACGCGCAGCCGGCTCAGCCTTCAGGGCAATCCGGAAGTGGGCTGGGAGCAGTGCGCGCAAACCGTGACCTCTTGCGGGCGGAGGCGCGCCGTGTGGCACGTGGGGCGGTCAGCCCGGTGGTTAGCGGTGACACCAGGCCTGGGACCTTCGCCGATGGCGGGTGGGAGCGCGGGGGAACTCTCCTGGATCGGTGAAGGGGAAGGGGTCGACATCCCTGGGCGGGCTTAGAGGTGAGTGAAGTGTCTCAGGGGCGAAGGAATCGCATTTTCTATGAAGAGTTGTGAGTCCGCCTGTGAACACGCGAACCTGTTCGTAAAGGGTTACAAACCTGAAGCCCCAAACTGTACATTTTCTACAACAAGGAATTGTTCGGGGAAAGCTTTGTTTTAGGGGAACATCACATATCAAAACCATTACCCCTTTTTAAAACATCTTTCAGGGCTCAGTTGGACTTCTCTATGGAAAACTTGCGTGAGGAAAGCGCTTTGTTGAACGTTAAGGCGCTGGCATCCTGAATGGGTGCCTGTTCTCACCCAGCGCCCTGCCTGTGGCCTGGGAAAGCAGTGGGGGACGGCCCAAGGCCTCGAGATACTGCGCACACCCAGAGGCAGCTCTGGATTCAAACAGGTCCAGCTCTGGCTGTCATTTGAGGAGAACCAGAGGATGGGAGATCTTTCTGTATCACCTTCTTTCTGTATATCTGCCTTTCCAATAAAAAAAAAATTTAAAAATGCAAAAAAAAAAAGTGTGCTCTTCAAAGAGAATTATTAAAAGCAAAATTTCAAGAGGCATCATGGGGAGGCTGCCATTCATGCTGAGGAGCCCAGTGGTGTCCTGGCTGCTCCACTTCTGATCCAGCTTCCTCTGAATGTGCCTGGAAAAACAATGGGTGATGGTGGGTCAACTGCTGGGGCCCCTGCAGCCAAGTGAGAGACCAGGATGGAGTTCCTGGCACTAGCTTTTGCCTAATCCAGCCATGACCGTAGCAGCCATTTGAGAAGTGAACCAGCTAGCATAAGATCTGCCCCCTTTCCTTCTGTCAGTCTGCTGTTCAAATAAATACTTAAATCTTTTACTTATTTTTAATTGGAAAGTCAGATTTGCAGAGATTAGGAGAGTCAGAAAAAGATCTTTCATCTACTGGTTCACTCTCCAAGTAGCTACAATGGCCAGAACTGAGTCAGTCCGAAGCCAGAAGCCAGGAGCTTCTGGGTCTCCCACAGGGGTGCAGGGTCCCAAGGCTTTGGGTCATCCTTGGTTCTCAGGCCACAAGCGGGGAGTTGGAAGGGAAATGGAGCAGCCGGGATACGAGCCGACACCTGTATGAGATCCCAGTGCATGCAAGTTGAGCACTTTAGCCATTAGGCTACCACACTTGGCCCAAATACATATATCTTTAAGTTTTTTTTTTTTTTTCAGCGCATCAAGGTTAATGATGGAATTGGCATTTAACAGAGTTTGTGATTGAAGTATCATGCCACCTATGAAATAGAAAAGTACTGCAAGGGACTTGGCAGAACAGTTGGCTTCTATAAGATAGCTTGAGCAGAAACTGGGAAAAATAGTGGAAAATTGGGTTAATATTGAACTATTCCCAGTTTTTTATAGGTTAAAGCACAAAGTATTCTTTGTTCAGGCTCAGACTGGGTGGGCCTATTTTGATTGGTTGTTATGAATCCCCTAATTTATGTATCTAATTTCTTTTTCTTTGGCAAGCTTACCCATTTCTAAGTTCATTTTAGTAGTGCAGCAGCTAGCATGAAGGACTGTATTCTGTTTGATCTGCTAACATGGCTCCCATCATTTTTATTTAACAGCACTATTAAGAAAACAAAAGAGGTAAGCCAACGTATAGATATTAGCCACAAAACACATGTCTTATAAAATGATATGGCGAAAAAGCTCAAAGGAACAAGATTGTCCAGTGACTTCCCAGCCCCTCCGCCTTGCCTTGCCGCATGCAAGTGCATCCCACTAGGCTATCGTCCTGGGCTCCATTTTTTCTTTTAAAAATATATTTTTTTACTTATTTTTATTGACAAAACAGTCTTAGAGAAAAGAGGGGAGACAAAGATCTTCTACTCACTGGTTCACTCCCCAAATGGCCTCAGCAGCCGGAGGAGCTCTGCTGATCTGAAGCCAGGAGCCTCTTCCAGGTCTCCCACGCGGGTGCAGGGTCCCAAGGCTTTGGGCCGTCCTCCCCTGCTTTCACAGGCCACAAGCAGGGAGCTGGGTTGGAAGTGGAGCAGCCAGGACATGAACTATATGGGACCCCAGCAATGGTAAGGGGAGGATTGGCCAATTAAGCCATTGATCTGTTCCATAAATTCTGCTTAAGGTTTTGAACACTTTTTGAAGGATTATAGTTCTCTATACTGTATCTGCCTCTCCAGTTCAGCATCTTACATTAGTTGTGGCTGACTGATCATATTCTACACCAGAGCAATAGTGTTTTGATTACAAGAGTTTTATATTAGTTCTGGAATCGTGTATTTTCTTGTTTTCATTTTTCAAGAAACATGTAAACATATGTAATATATATATATGTGTGTGTGTGTGTATGTAAAATTCAATGTCTTTATTTTTGTAAAAACGACCAGGCTGTTCTCCAACTGGATGTGCCAGTGTACAGCCCAGCAGGGGAAGATGGGAGTTCCTCCCCATCCTCACAGTTCATGTGGCCAACACATTACTGGATAACTCACTAATAGGAAAGTGGATAGTGAGGCCAGGGGCTCACCCACTCAGAACCTCCTTAGCAGGTCCAAAGCCCTGGGGCAGTCCTGGCAGATCTGTACACCTCAAACCATCACTCCCTGCCATAGCTGAGGCCCAAAATGTCACTTTTCTAAGTGTGGCTCTCCAGGCCCCCAAACCAGTGGGCTCAGAAAGTCTGAGTCTTTCCTGTGACATCATAAGGGCCATGGGTCACCACGGGAGACCTGCAGACCCACCCGCTGGGCAAGGAGACAGCACGGCCTGACAGTGCCTCCCCCCACCACACTGGCCCTCCATGGAAGCCTTGGTCTGTGCGTTCTCTGAGCTGCGCATCAGAGAAGGTGCTGAGCTGTGGGGAGGAGCAATAAGACATAGCCATGCTGCTGCCCCTGGGGTGGCCTGGGGACAGGGAGGCCTGGCACCGTCACTCTGAGCTAGCCACTTAATTATGGATTTACTGTACTGTTCCCTTCATGGGACCAGAATATTCTTGCTATAGTAGGAGGCACAAAAAAAAAAATCTCAAAAGGCCCCAGAAAAGAGTAACATGCTGGGTGCTGGTGGCTCTGGGCCCATTTGTCAGACCGTGAAGTTGAGGCTCTGCAGGCCAGGGTTAGAGATGACATCTGAGCTCATCTTATAGGCACTCTGCTAAGTTCTGCTCTCATGGCTACCAAGCCAGGCCAGCCTCAACCTGGTGATACTTACCCCTCCTCCACAGATGCAGCAGGCCGGGCTCAAGGACACCTCAGCTACCCTGACACACTTCCCAACATCTATGAAGGAGGGCTGGGAAGCCAGGAGCAGCAGTGCCCTGTTGCCCAGGGCAGCAAGCCCAAGAACTTCCGGCTGCGCCACCTCCGAGGCCTGGCTTTCTACCTGCCTGGCCACATGCAGCCTGCTGGCCAGTGTAAAAGCCATTGGCTGGGCCAGCTCATGACGGACAGCTGCCTGCCACAGCCTAAAGGTTCTGCCTGGCCCCTGATTCTGCCACGGGGGTCTCTGGGCCCAAGTAACAGCTACTGCTCAGCCCTTCTGGAAACCCAAGTACATGGGGACAGCCTGGGAAACACAGGTGAGCACTCTTGAGGCAGGCCTAGGGATAGAGGGCTGGGTTGGGGACTTTGGGACCAACTTCATTTCCAAGTCATCTGGGGGAGCGGGGAGAGACCTAGCAGTGACCAGGGACACAGTGGCTAGGATACTCCTATGGGGACATCACATATCTGGTGCCAATCCTGTGTCGGCTACTGGCAGGTCAGAAAACCTCATGGTCTGTGAGGTCTGGGTGAATAGCCTGGGTGGGGTGATCTTGTCAGTGGCCAGGGTGAGGCCAAGGGGAGGTGTCAGGACTGAGTTGCAGGGCCCTGTCCCAGGGCTGCATTTGATGAGGGGCCCTGGGCAACTGCCTTCCTGCTAGGTCTCAGTGTCTGTTCCAGTTGGCAGTTGGGGAGCAGAGGGTCCTTCCAGCTTGAACTGTCCACTTCCTCTTCCCCCGTCCTCCCCAGGGTGGAACTGTGTCCTCTCTGCTTGCCTTTTGAAGGTTGTTGGGTTCCAGGGATCCTAGAGTGAGGCTATTGGTTTCTCCCCAAGTTTTGATTCCTCTCTTTCCTCCTTCCTCAGCTTCCAGCTCCAGCATGGACCAGGCCAAGGGCACACCTTCCCAACCTGGGGCCCCTGAGGGCTTAGGGCTCAGGCCCAAGAGGTCGTGGGGGGCATTGGAAGAGACTATTTGTCCCTTGTGCAAGAGAACTCGCTCTGGGGCTCTAGAGAGACAATAGGGACCTCCAAGTGCCAGGCTGTCAATAGCAGGGGGCAGGATGGCAGTGGTGGCAGTGCTAAAGAGGCAGGTCCAAAGGTGGGAGGCTTAGTAGCCCCTGCGGCAGCCCTCCCCACTGACTGAGCCACCCTGCCAGGTGTCTGGTATCAGACCTGGGTCAGTCCTGGGGAAATGCCGGGGAACAGGGCGGGGAGTGAGGGAGATGTCCTATGGGAGGAACAAGAGAAGTGCAAGCATGGCCATGCCCTTGCAGCCTGCTTGGCAGGCCAGGCCGATTGGAGCACTGAGCTCCTGAGAGGTGGGAGGCCCTCAGATCTCGTATCAATAAAAGCAAGGCCTACACCTCCCAGTCACAGAGCCCCTTCAGCTGGAACACACCACTGCTGCAGCAGGAACAGGTCCGTGGTTGCCTTTAGACACAGCCAAAAGCCAGACGCTATGGCAGCTGGAGTACCCTGGAGGAGCGTACAGGACCTGGAGACCATACCTGGCTCTACAGGGCAGGGAAGCTCTCACTAGACAAAATGCAGGGAGCAATTCAAACCAAGGTACATTGCTCCGTGGGCTCCCACAAGCTGTCCCTCCTTGGCAGGACAGACTCATCTCTCCCCTATAGGCATCCGTCATCTGGGCACCCAGGTGTGGTCATCTTCTGTGCCAGGGTAGGCCTACATCTGGGACCGATCATTCATCGTTTTCTGGATGTCAGCAAGGCATTCCTCCCACAGGTGATAACCTGCCTCTAGACACGATCCCAAGACCCCTGGTGGTTCACCCCCTGTGAGAACTCCTGCTCTGTGGGAGAGGATGGAAACACCCAGGGGTGCCTTTGTGACCCTGGCCTGGGCAGCCTGGGGCCACGAGAGCTGAGCCCTGTCCCTGCTTTGGGTGATGGCACCGAAGACAGCGGTCTGCTTCCCGTGAACCCTGGTTTCCCTGCTGGGCATTTCCTAGGTCCCTGGATGACAGATGCTGCAGGCTTCAGCCCTAGGGCGTTATAGACTGCTCAGAGTCTACAGATGTGGCTGGATGGGGGACACTCCAGCTGGGGTGACAGAAGATGCCTGCCTTTGCCCTCTCCCTCACATCCATTCCCCAGGGACATGACAGCCAGGCAGACTTGACCAGCCGCTACTCAAGAGACACATTGGGTGGCCTGCCAGAGGTATCAGGACACCATTCACCTGTTGAGGGCTGGTTGGGTCTGCTGCCAAGTGGGGTGGGCCCAAGTGAGACTCCCACGAGCCAACAGTACAAGGGCCCTGGTGACCTTCAGTGATCTGAACCCTTTACCTCTTGGTGGAGACCTGAGGCTTGATGAGCAGCTCAGATGGCCTGGTGCGCAGTGCCTAGTTGGGTGACCCAGTGAGCCACACAGACCCACATTCTAGCCCTTGTCAGTTCCTTCCGCTTGAGGGGTGTGCCACTGGATCTTGCTTGACAATACCTCACAATGACAACAAGGCTTGGGTACTTGCAGGCTGAGCAGGAGGCCAGTGGCCATGTGCAGAGTCATCTAGGAATGGCTGACCAATGAGAATTAACCCAGGTTGCCACTGGCAGGCAATGCGGTAGCACTATGGCCCAGCTGGCTGCAGCTGCAGCAACCCTAAGTAGATTCTCCAGTTCCCACTCCACTGTGGTCTGTCTACCCAGCCAGCACCTTACAGGGCAATGAGCGTCCTCACGAACAAATGTCCCAACTGGGAGCCACACAGCTGCTTAGGCCACTAGGCCTGGGGACAGCTTGTAGGAGGGATATTCACTTCAGTCACATGCTGACCCCAACCCCATGCCCACAGTTGCTCCCTCAGATCTCTACTCTCAAACAGCAGCCCTTGGAGAGTCTATATCCTAGACACCAGGAGACCCTTACAGAGTGTGTGTGTGTGTGTGTGTGTGTGTGTTGGGCAGGAAACCCTTGCAGAGAGGGGGAAGGAGCATGTGTGTGCATGTGCGTGTGTACCATGCACCTGGCCCATCAGGCTGGCACCTGTGCTGGATCCCCTTGGGAGGCTTCCTGAGTCCAGGACAGTCGTCCCGCCCCTCGACCACACCCCAGCCCAAGGCTGAGCTCTGGGAAATTGAGCCACTGGCACAGCTGCTGTCAGAATAACCCAGCCAGTGGTGTACAACCGGTAACTCAGCTGGAAGTCGTCCTAGCACACGGCCACGGCAAGTGGTCCCGGCCCCAGCTCCAGGAGCAAATCCTGCACACAGGCTGCACCCAACTGCCGTCTATTTATTCGTTGGTAATGAAACACTACAATCCGCTCAGCACAGAGCTGGACAGTGCAGTGATTAATGGGGCAGGCGGGGAGGGTGGGCAAGGCCTCTGAGCTGGATTCTGAAAAGTCCAAGGCAGAACCTTCTGGAAGACACTTCCCTTACCCGATGGGGCAGAAATAAAAATCACATGATCATCATTGATTCTGAGTAGAGAGGACACCATGACTTCAGTGCACAGCACAGCAGCCGAGGCTGCACCAGTTAACAGGATGCTGCATCACACCAGGGCCCCTTCCCCATGTGAGCCTGGCACATTCTGAGGGCAGCATTTGGGCTGCCCAGGCGCCATCTGCTAAGACTGGTTCCCTCTGTCCCAGACCTTGTGATACCCTGGCTCCCTGGGATCCCGGGGGTCCCAGCTGCTGCAGGGCAAGGCAGACAGCAATGGCTCTTGGGGGAAACGGGGGTATGGTGCAGGGTGGGGAGGATGCTAGATTGTGTGATGGACTCACACTGCAGGCACAATTCAGAGCTGGCCCAGGCACATGACGCCCCTGTCTTCAGCCATCCACCATCGAGCTCAGTCTCCTGTCTGCACTGGGCAGGTCTTGGGGCTGTGGCTCATGGAGGGATGAAGAAGGGGGAAGCAGACGTGTCTTCAGCCCAGCTCCCAGCGGGCTGTCAGGTGCATGGAGCAGTCCCCAATCCAGCAGGCTGAGTGGTGTCTTGGCTACAGCAGGAATCACAATATCATCTGTGCATCTGGGCTCAGAGCTCTATGTTCGTGGGAAGAGCCTTCCCCACTCCTGCCGGGCATCCTGAGGCAGGGTCTCTGCTCTGTTCTGGGGCTCAACACTCGGGCTGCTCCCTCACAGCACCAGGTTCCCCTCAGCTTTGCAGGAAGGGGCTGGGGAACAGGTGGCCAAGGAGAGGCCTGGGACAAGAAGTGTGCCCAGTGAGCGCAGCTGCTCCGGCCAGCTGCCTGATGGGTGCATGTGTGTGAAGGCATGACCAGGGCATTGGGCAGAGGCAGAGGTTTCCAGAAGCCAGAGGAGAGCTGGAGAACCTGTGGGGCAGAGAGAAGTAGGTGTGAAGGTACCACATGGCCTTTGCCCTACCCCACTGTCTGGCCCACACCTGCCATGGGGTCTTGGCACCCTAAGGGCAGGAGCCTATCACCAAGGCCAGTTGCCAGTGGCCACCCAGCTCTTCTTGCCCCTGGTACAAATCAAATCCCAGATGATTCCATTCACAGGTACACAATTCAGGCAGCCACATGGCCTATTGTGCCAAGTCATCAGACCTTACTGGGCCACATGGGTACATGAGGGAGGCCTGACTCTATGCCCCACCCAGCCACAGCATTCTCTAAGGCCTGGGAACCCCCATCTGTAGGTGCCCACCAGGGCTCTGGTTTAGCGAGGGGCGGTGATACTGGCATAGAGAAGTTTCTGCAGATTTCTTAGGAACACATCTGGGATGCAGCGGGAACCAGATGAGCAACCAGAGGGTGAGGCAGCAAGGGGACTTGTGTTTTTTTCCCACCTTTTAAGTTGTTGAATCATGTTACTATACTATTTAAAACCATAAAGCCTTGGAGCTGGCACTGGGGCCCTGGAGGATGAGCTGCCACCTGCAGCATTGACATCCTATGTGGATACTGCGAGGCCCAATTCCTCCACTTCCAATCCAGCCTGCTGATGTGCCTGGGAAAAGCACTGCAGGATGGTCTAGGTGCCTGGGCCCTGCACCCATGTGAGACCTAGAGGAAGCTCCTGTTCCACCTGGGAAATGAACCAATGGACGGGTGCTCGCTCTCTAACTCAAATAAATAAATCAACTTTTAACCCTGCCATCCACTGCCCTTAAAAAAAAACAAACAGCAAATCAGGGAGACTTCCTAGAAGTGAGAAGCTCCACTTGGGGTCAGGAGGTCTCCCGTCACCTTTTCTTCCTGCAGTTTCTGAGCTGGGCATTCTGTTCCCTGGCTTTTGTGCCCTGCTGCCTGCTGTGACCTACCTGTGAGGAGACCGGGCACACTCTCTGCTCTGAGCCCACGTAGCACCGGGCCTGCAGCTGGAGCAGGCCAACGGGCCTGGCAGGTGGTCACCAGCTCCTTGCAGAAGACAGCAGAGGTCAGAAGGATAGGAAGGAGGGCTCCGTAGGGTACTGAGGGGTAGGAACTGGTGGAGGCTATCCAGCTGGCATCACATGGTACGGCTGTACTCGATGCCACCCTTGCTGGAGATGCCTGACCATGGCAGGAAGCTGCAGAGCAGGCTGTGGGCCTGGCGGTAGATCCTGTGTGGGATGGAGCAGGGGCTCAGGTTGGCCAGCGCTGAGCCCAGGTGCTGGATGTAGTCTGTGGACTCTGTCAAGGAAGATGTAAGCTTACCCCTGCCCACCCCTGCTGTCCTTAGGGCTTGCCAGAAACCTGGAAACGGGCCCACAGCATGCCACATGAGGGGTCAAGGAACAAGAACCTGCTGAGCTTCTGCAGTGCACGGAGACTGACAGGCCTCTATGGTGCAAAATCGCAAAGGGCAGGGCCTGGGGCCAAAAGGGCCCCTGTATGAGGTCCCAGGCGTGCAGAGGCAAGTGGGGCAAGGGTCTGGCTTGATCCATGGAGCCGCAGCAGTGACATAACCCTGTCACTATTACAGACAGCCAGTCGATGCCCCATGACTGAAGGGGCCATTTTCACCCAAGCCAGGAGGCTGTGGGGTTCTGGCTTCACCTCCTTCCTTCACCATGTTCTTTTGAAACAGAATACTCGGTCTACCCGTCCCTACAAAATGCATCCACAAGCTTCACTGGCTCTGCTCCCAACACAGCTCATGGAGGTCAAGGATATAAGATTGTCCAGGGAGGGTGGCCACCGTTGATGTAGAGGACGTAGGTGAAGCCGTCCTTGAGGACCCCGCGGATGGAGTAGTAGTAGGGCAGGTAGTGGTGCTGCTTGAAGTCTCTGTTTTCGTAGAAGCTGATGGCTGTGTTGTTGGTGGTGAGGACGTGCAGATAAATGGCTTTACAGTGGTCCTGGGCGGTGGTTGAAATGTGATCCTTTAAACTTTCAAGTAAGAGAGACCCTTGGGGAGAGCAGGTAGAGATTAGGCACATAGGCAGTTAGAAAGGAGACATGATGCAAGCAAGGGCAAGGCCTTTGCAGGGCTCTTCTAAGGTCTCCCAACCAGTAGGGCTTAAGTAGCAAGGGGACCCAGAGGCTCTCTGGCCTTCAGTAGCACAAGTGTGGGCCTGAGCTTAGATAGGCACAACACGGACCATCCTGGATCAAAAGCAGGCCTGCTGTTCTGTCTGTTTGGACAGCAACCCTGATGACAAGGAGCATGGACTAAGGGGGTGAATTACGGGTCTTCACTTCTGTGTTTAATCTCAGCCAGGGGCACATGGGCTGAGTGTGGCTGTGGGAATGGTGAGAAGGGATGCTTTCCCCAAGGGGAAGCTAGGAAGGAGGCTGTGGTGAAGGCCAGAGAGTTGGAGAGATGGCCGGGAGGAGAGGAGAGATGGCTGAGTCCAACCTGGATGGGGCCGGGCTCAGTGGAAGGAGCCGAGAGATGTGAGGAACTGGCCTAGGTTGGGCCACCCTTACCAATGCCATGCTTTCTGAACTCTTTGACAACGCCAAGACTGAGGATGTATGCAACCTGGGTGTCCACGGAGAAGCTGGAGGCTAGAATATCTCCATCCTAACAAAAGTTAGAGATAGAAGTCAGTGTACCAGCTTACAGGCTCCTGGCAGCACACAGCCACACCATGTATGTTTGGGCTCCCTCCCTGGCCACAGTACCCAGGGACACAGGAACAGAGAGGGCAGAACGAAAGGCTATGGTGTGTCCCCCACCCCTCCAAGGCTTGGGTGCCCCTGTGAGGAGCTGCTTAGCACACATAACTTCCTCTGGAAAGGACAGCAGGCCATCCAGGCATAGGAAGCACACCGTGTGCCTGCAGGTGCCAGGAGATGTCAGTGCTACCTGAGCATCTAATGGCCTCCACACGTGTGAGTGGATACATACACGCAGAGTCTGGAGGCTGCCCCAGGGGTTGTAGAGGAGAGGGTGTGGGCAGCCAACCACCCCTCTCAGCTACAACATGCCATGGAAGGCCACTCCACACAGGTCTCCTGCTTTCCAAGACACAATTCTCGGGGAAGAGTTGTGAATCCTCCACCTATGAGTTCAGCTGTTTGTCCTTCGGAGGGGTATGCATGTACATAGCTGACCTCCAGAAAACAAGGCTGGGATGCAGCCTTTCCACTACCTGTGTCTGCCCGGGGCACTTGTGGCTTGCCACAATGAACCCGGACATGGGTGGGGGTTCTCAGGAGGGCAGCCTTCCTCATAGCCTTTGTGACTCAGAGCCCAGGCTTGCATTAAGTCACCCCATGCTGGGAACTCAGCTTAGCCTCTCAGGTCTGCCTGAGGCCCAAGCCAACAAGTGCCATGGTGCAGGGCCCCCTCTGAAGGTGGATTAGGGGGAGGGTGTGTGGACACTCAGGATGAGGAGGACAACCACTGGCTTTCTGCTCTTACCATGGAAGAACGGGCAGAAAAGCCAAGGAGGAAGCTGGGGCAGAAAAAGCTCCTCTTAAACGAAATCAACTGTGCCAGGACATAGAGATGGCAAAATGGGATGGAGGGTTGTAGAACTGGGACCTACAGCAAAGCAAACAGAACCACATGCTGCCACTGGTGGGGGTTGGCCTCCTTGGAGCAGACGCCCCTGTGGCCAACATCACCTGGCCCAGAGGGGTGCTTAGAACCCCAGCCAAAGTCATAGCCTGCACTTAAACAGGGCTTGCTGCAGGCGGTGACAGGGTGGGCCTACCCACAGACCTGCAGGGCTCTCAGATCTGACAGGAAACTGCATAAAAAGAAATCACACCTCTATTTCCACTACCTTCTGACTGAAGCTGACATTCCTTCAGTCACTAGGACATCACCACCAACACGGTCAGACTGCATGAACTCCCATGAATCCCACACGCTCACCCCTGATGGAACAACGGATGTCCTGAGGCCTGTGGCTGGACCTTGCCCCCTGACAGGTGGTAAGGGTGTGTGTGTCACCAGACCACACATTTAGCACAGACATGAGCAGGAAATGAGCCCCAGGACTCCAGACTGCTGGGTCACAGGCACCAGAGACCTAGGGCCCCAATACCAGGCAAGGCCAGTTTCCCATGGCTGTCCCTGGACCCTGAGCCCACACTGAGCAGCATTAGCCACATCACTGCTGCACAGATGTACCTCTTTGTGTATTTTGGTCCTGCTTTTAATTTCAGCTACTATCATTCCCACGATGGCGCCTCTGTAGGTGGCAGCAAGGGAAAAGAACTTCTTGTTGGACGTAATATCACGATACCATGAGTCTGGGTACCTGAGGAAGAAGACATGGATAGGTAAACCCACAAAGGTCAATACCCACTACCACGGTGCTTGGAAACCCCAAGTTACAGGGGACCTAGAGGTGTAGGGGGCCAGATGAGAGAGGAGACCAGGAGGGACAGTGCACCTGGAAAGACAGGACACCTGGAGGAAGAAGAGGACCTGACAGGAGAGGGGATTTGGAGGTGCAGGAGACCTGGAGGGACAGGGGACCTGGCAGGAGAGGGGACTGAGAGGGACAGGGGACCTGAATGCACACAGATCCCCAACTACTTGTGCCCTCTGCTCTTAGGCTTCTGAAGACAGGAGTCACTAGCTGGAGGAGCCCAACGGTCACGGTTCTTATAGAAGTGACCTGTCAAACAGGACAGGGAATTTCTGGTGGGACAATGATTATATCAGACTTGAGCTGTAAGGGTGAAACCTCCCATGAGACTTAAGGGCAGTGAGGGGACAGCCCTGGGAGGCCTACTCCTTAGCCAGTGACTTCCAACGCATGTGAGGACCCAGACATGTTGGAGGCCTCCTGTAAGGAATCCATGTGCAACTTCTTGGCACTGAGGCCACAGGAATGACGCGAAAAGGAGCAAAGGTCATAGCCAAGGGGCACTTGAGTTAAGGGCCCCTCCCTGGATCAAAGATAAAGTGCGGCCAGGGCTTGTGAGTGTTGCCCACCAGAAAGAAGCCAGACCCCTGGCAGGCAAGAATGGAGAGTAGATCTGGCCTCCGCCCCCTACCCCACCCCACTCTATTGAGTCAAGGGCAGGAAAGCAGAGGTTTATAGATGTGGGTTTTGACTCTCAAACTTGGAAGAGACCTAACAGGTTGGCCTGGATGCCTTTCTTATGATCAAGAGCTAGAGTGGGGGATGTAGCAGAGAGCTCCTCTGCTCAGCTCTGCCAAGGCCTTTACACCCACAGAAGCATCCCATATGGGGTCTATATGTCACCTGAGGTTCTCTCCCTGGCCTGCTCTGACCCAGAGTGTCCAGCTGGCCTTGCAGCCGGCACCCAGCATCCCACTTCATGGCCCCAGATCACTACAGCTTACTCTACTGTCCAGGGAGCCCCACGGGGAGGGAGGCATGCCAGAGCCTGTGGCTAAGGGCAGCTCTGGCCTACCTGGCCCTTCCAGGCCTGTCCTCCCTCTAAAGTGTGGTCATGTGGCCACACTTTAGGGCCGTGAGCTCCTCTTCCAGCTCCAGCGTCTACAAGATCCCAGTCTGCCCCGACCCTTGCAAGCTGCATGCAGCTGGGGAGCCTGCCACTGCCCACTTACTCAATGGGGAACCAGTCGCCACACAAGTGCTTCACGGTGTCTATGTCATCGTGGCAGAGGAGGCGCAGGCTGACCTCGCTGAGGGCGCTGGACGGCACCACTTCTGTCATTCACACCTGCAGAGAAAAGAGGCAGCGTAACCTCACAGCCACTCACCTGTTCCTCCTCCTCGCTCTAACCTCGGCAGGAGGGGTGCGGTGTGCAGCACTTCCCCCTCACGAAACTACTAGGTCCCAGGGGTCACAGTCACCCTGGCCTTACAGAGGTTCAGGAACAGTAAGTGAGGACCCAGGCTCCCCGCACTTCTCAACCCAGCCCAGGGAAGCCTGCCTCTCAACTGTCTGTACCCTCTCCCACTGACCTCCCACAGAAGTCCAGGCTCCTCTGTGGTGGGTCTCAAGTCTCATGACAGAAGATCCTTGACTGCAGAAAGCCCACCAGCCTGCCATCTCCCTACCCTGGGGTCTTATCACTGCCAAAAACAGACTGGGGCTCGGACATGCCAACCCTCCTCCCCTTTCCACAGGCTGCTACTCATCCTTAGCAGCTGAGAAATGGTGGGGGTTTTTGTTTGTTTTAATTAGCAATGACAACAGAATTCCAAAGTCACCATTTGCGGTCCACTGGTGGGAATGAGCCAGACAAGCAAAAACATCTGTTGGGGAACAAGTGCAGCGCCTCTTAGTGGCCTAGGATCCACTGACCTGGTGGTCACCACTTGTCCTAACCAGTTGACAGCAGGCCGCATCCGGCAGGAAGCACCGGAAGGCCTTGTAAGTTCCCACCGGAGATGCTGGACCGCTAACGTCACAATCACAGGTACCAGCCTGCACACAAAAGTCAGGCAAAGGGCCTGATGACAGCTGACGGACACAGAGTAGGTCGGCCACAAGCAGGTGGCCTGGTCTCTCTCAGCAGCCAGTGCTGGAGGAAATACGAAAGAGATGAGGAGACAGAAGGCTGACAACTGTACATGATGCGCAGACTGCCACTGGGAAAAATAAAATGTTAACAACCACACTTGGGGAACTTCAAATATGTTGTGGGAAGTGAATGCATTACAAAGCTATGATTCACTTTCTTGGCTCTCTGCATGGCTCAGTAGCAATACAAGACAAAGGTGTTTTTGTTTATTGCAAAGATTTATTTATTTTTATTGCAAAGTCATATACAGAAAGGAGGAGACAGAAAGATTTTCTGTCTGATGATTCACTCCCCAAGTGACAGCAACAGCCGGTGCTGCGCCGATCAGGAGCCAGGAGCCAGGAGTTTTCTTCCGGGTTTCTCACATGGGTGCAGGTCCCAAGGCTTTGGGCCGTCCTCGACTGCTTTCCCAGGCCACAAGCGGGGAGCTGGACGGGAAGTGGGGCATCTGGGATTAGAACCGGCACCCATGTGGGATCCTGGCACATTCAAGGCAAGGACTTAAAGCTGCTAGGCTACCATGTTGGGCCCACTGCAGGACAAAGTCTTAGGAGAGGCAAGCGGATAGCTCTTGAAGAGAAACATCATGGTTTGCAATGGTCAGTGGATCTGCTGAGAAAATTTAAATGCTATCAGCTAGCAAGCTAGGTAGCTAGTGCAGTTACAGCATAGGTACTTCCTATCATATATGTTCAATTTTTAAAAAGTAATTATGGGGGGCCCGGCGTGGTGGCGCAAGTGGTTAAGTCCTCGCCTTGCACGCCCGGGATCCCATATGGGCGCCGGTTCTAATCCCGGCAGCCCCGCTTCCCTTCCAGCTCCCTGCCCGTGGCCCGGGAAGGCAGTCGAGGACGGCCCAAAGCTTTGGGACCCTGCACCCACGTGGGAGACCCAGAAGAGGCTCCTGGCTTCGGATCGGCATAGCATTGGCCCGTTGCGCTCACTTGGGGAGTGAATCATCGGATGGAAGATCTTCCTCTCTGTCTCTCCTCTCTGTATATCCGCCTTTCCAATAGAAAATAATAAAAATAAATCTTAAAAAAAAAAAAGTAATTATGGGAATTGGAGGGTTGCTGGCAGCTGCATACGTGGGGCAATTTTCAAGATTTAAGGGAATCAGATGCTCAACCCATCCAGCTCACTAAGCCCAAATGAGACACAAGTAGCGACTGTTCAGTCACCTGCCCCCTTGCCCAGCAGCTGGCGGCCGAGCACGTGGCCCCTTCTAGCTGCTGCAGTCATTTGGCAGTTACCAGCACAAGAACTTGTGGCCTCGGCACCAGGTGGAACTCCAGAAATTCAACCAATGAAGCCCACTGGTGTCTGCACTCCTGGGAGGGGCTGGCTACCAGCAGGACGACTTAGCTCAGCTCTCTCTGGAAGGGTGGGCTGAGCGCAGGCCGCTGGGAGCAGCCTGGCACAGTCTGGGTCAGGGTGGCCACAGGCAGAGTCCCCCGAGGAGCTGGGAGCTGCTATAGCAGAGAAAGCAGATGATGCACAGCCTTGACCTCTATGGTTGCCTGAGACAGGGGACCGACTACAAAGGGATTTGGGGGAGGGGAGCAACTTCCTGGGAAAAATGAAATATTCTATCATGACAGTGGTGGCAGTGGTTATACATACACAAAATCAAAATGCACTGGGCCCCGCGGAGTGGTCTAGCGGCTGAAGTCCTTGCCTTGAATGCAACAGGATCCCATATGGGTGCTTGTTCTAATCCCAGCAGTTCCAATTCCCATTCAGCTTCCTGCTTGTGGCTTGGGAACGCAGCAGAAGATGGCCCAAAGCCTTGGGACCCTGCACCCGCACGGAGCAACTGGAAGAAGCTCCTAGTTCCTGACTTCGGATCGGCTCAGCTTCAGCCATTGCGCTCACTTGGGGAGTTAATTCTTCTCTGTCTCTCTTCCTCTCTGTATATCTGACTTTACAATAAAAATGAATAAATACATTTTTTAAAAAGATGATGGAAAGAGGCCAGATCTTACCAAGATTTATTTCACTTGTTTGAAAGGGAGAGTTTCAGGAGGAGATCTTCCATTTTCTGGCTCACTCCCCAGGTAGCCACAACAGCTTGGACTGTGCCAGGCCAAAGCCAGGAGCTTTTTCCAGCTCTCTCATGCGGATATAGGGACACAAGGACCTGGCCCATCCTCCAGTGCTTTTGCAGGTGCATTGGCAGGTAGTTGGACTGGAAGTGGAAGAGCTGGGACTTGAATTGGCACTGTAAGGGATGCTGGTGAATGCTGGTGTTGCAGGCAGTAGCTTAACCCTTCATGCCACAAGCTACTTGGACATCACTGCCTTCCCTGAAACATCGGCAGGCAGCTGAAACCGGAGTAGCAGGGACTCGAACCGTGCTCCAAGACAGGAACCCTCACAGTTACAAACAGCACCTTAACCCACTGTACCTTAACACTGGCTTATGTCCTGGGATTTATATACTTCTTGCCTAGCATTCTCAGCACAAGGTTCTTGATCCAAGAGGGGAACATTCATTTCTGGCTGACTTTCAAGAGAAACACTGAACTCTTGAATACACAACTACTTGTGGGTTCTCATAAACCTACTAGAACGTCCACATTTCCCAAGGCAGGATATTTGGACTCCTTGATTCAAAAATAGAAGCAAGTCATGTTTAACCAAAAGTTAGACTTTAGGGCCTAATGAGACCAGCTCTACTGACCACAGGCAGGATAGAGGGTTGAGAAAGGCAGATGAGCATCCCCAAGCTAGAAAAGGGAGCAATCAAGGTGGGTGCAGTGGGTGGTGGCCTGCTGGGGAGGAGGTTCAGCCTCAGGGTCAACCAATCTCCCTTCAGAACCAATCAGCAGACCATGTTCACCTGGACAGGCTGCAAAAACCACAAGACGTCTGGGGACAGGAGGCTTCCTGTGGGTAGCCCTGGGTGCCTGGTGTAGTGACATCCATTTGCAGCAGGTCAATGATGACAAATGTTGGTTCTTCTGTGGAACAGCACTGTGAGTTACCACTTAGGCAGGGGGCATGTAAATGGCAAGGCCAGGACCCAAGCAGATGGCAAAGAACACTCCCCATACTGGCCTCTGGGGCCACAGAACTTTGTCCTGGCCACTTTGGCATGTGCAGGAGAATGTGCTGCCATGGCCTCCCACTCGCTAGAGATGGGATCTGCCCTGTAGGTGAGAAAGCTGTGACCACGAAGCTGCAGGGACTAAGAGCTGAGTCAGGTCAGAACAGAGCCAGAACTGAGCATTGCACAGCTTCAAGTCAACTGTGTGCACCACGCCTCGTGCCGGCACCCACGAGAGCCCTGCCTTGCTCATTTCGAATCCAACACGGAGCAACCCCATGGACCGTCCTCAGGCTACCCAGCAGGACAGATGGACAAGAATGTGGAGGACTGGGCTAGAGAAAAGGGAACGCAAGCACTGAGGCCTCAAGACAGAGTGGTGTACCATGCTCTGAGCCCTCAGATGAGCGAGCACCCTGGCATGCTGGGGGTGGGGGTACCCATTCTTCTTCCTAGAAAGATGCAGGCACCTTCTTTATCACAGGGAACACTCGTACAACAGCATACAAAACTTACCTGAAAATTTTTTATTTAGTTTTTTTTTTTTCATTTTTATTTGCAAGTGGAAAGATACATATACACACAGAGATGGGGGCGGGGAGGGTCTTCCATCTGCTGGTTCACTTCCCCAGATGCCTAACAACAGCTGAGGCTAGGCCAGGTCAAACAGGTCGAAGTCAGGAAGCCAAAACCCCACCCAGGTCTCCCATGTGGGTGGTGGGGCCCAAGTATCCAAGTCCTGCCCAGCTGCCTGGGATTGGAAAATGCAGCCAGGACTGGCATCTAGGCACTTGGACTAAGGACATGAACCTCCCAAATGATATCTTTTATGCAGTGCCAAACACCTACCCCACATTTAGGTGAGAAGGCGACTGCCAACATTCACCTCTATGGGCAGTCCTCTTCCGAGGGTGTCTGAAAGTCTTCCAGGGCATGAAGGGTGGACCACGGGTCCCTCAAGACCCAAATCAAAGGCCTGTAGAGGGCCCGGCGCAGTGGCGCAAGTGGTTAAGTCCTCACCTTGCACGCCCGGGATCCCATATGGGCGCCGGTTCTAATCCCGGCAGCCCCACTTCCCTTCCAGCTCCCTGCCCGTGGCGCGGGAAGGCAGTCGAGGACAGCCCAAAGCTTTGGGACCCTGTA